TATTGACTCCTACAGGACGGAAAAATAGAAATCGAAATAACTATAAAAATTCTGGTCCGATCGAGTCTAACATAATATTACGTTTGAATGTTTTTTTTAAACCCACAAATTTTCAATTATTTACCCTTAACAACCGTCAGTCTTGTGTACATACTGATTTCAGACTTACAACCTGCACTAGATCACTTGAAAAGTAACCAAAAGAAAATAAAGGTCTAAAATTTAAGGTAAGTTCGACTGGTAACAGCAAAAATCGTTATAACTTATACAATTATTGAGCTAGAGAGTACATAAATTGTGCAAACTAAAGATGTCAACGTTCAATCAGCGAATCACCCCAACAATCTTTCGTTCAGTTCATCTAGACAACCGATCAAACATACTGGTTAAATATTTAGAGGAAAATTCGAAACCGCATAGTCGATACTTATAGTCTTTGGGGAAGCAAAATAATGTTTTATTTTGAATACAGGGTGATTCACTGATTCGTTAATGATGAGACACTCAACGTCTCCAAAACCCAGTTTTGGATAACTACTTTTAGAGTTACTATAAAGTTTAAAATTTAAGACAGAAGGATGGGTGGAGTGTAGTATTATTTTTTATTTGCGGGCATTACTCGTTGATTTTACACTTTAGTAACTCCAAAAGTAATTGTCCAAAACTGGACCAGTCAAAATGTTTGGCAAATCAATCTTAGCTCTGGAAGAAAGTAAAAAAAGATAAAAAGTTTGAATATTGTCAAACAACTTAAACTAAAGCGTCTCTGCAACTACAAAATTGCAGTAATTATTTTCAGAGAAAATGTGAGTGTCTTATTCTTAATAGATCACATTATGTCTTGTATATTAATTGTGATTTTTTTAAAAACCAAATTTGTTAGACGGAATGGTAATTATATGTGTGTACGGCCGGTCTTAGGGTTTCCAGCTCTTCTGGTCGTTCAATATTAATTAAGCCGTTTATATTCCTTGATTTGTATCGTGACAGACGTCTCGGTTCTCTTCTAAATGCGCAATCACGTACATCCGACTGGGTTCCCATTGAAACCGAAAGCCAAATGCATATAATATACAATGCGAGGTACACATTATCATACGAGTGTGACGTTAGTGCTTTTTTTTTTTTTTTTTAATTTATTACTATAAGCCCGATGGCCGCCGCTGGTCTCTACTAAATTAATATTATACACATTGCCCGAATTGGTCAATCGAGCACACTAGCTAAAGCCTGAAATACAGTAACAGTTGTCATAGTTTTACAGGACTACCAAGTTTCTTATAAAATCATTCAGACTTGAAACTGTGTGACTCGTGTTACTTTTAACACTATACAGAGTCATTACTCGCTAAACAAACTAATTTGTTTCTAAAGATTATAATATTATATACAAGAACTCTGGTATGTTTTAGTAGAAATTTTACTAGCAAAAAGGTCAATTTCCATAAAATTGTTGGTTACTGTGTTTTAGTATTGCTCAGCGACCAAAGATTTGGTCAGAGCGATACGTTTATTATTTTTAGAGTGTTCTTGTACAAATATTAATTTATTTTAAACGTATATGGTATTATTAAGGTGCCTTTGCAGCTGTGTGTCTTTGGTCAAAAAGTAACTTCAACCGTACTCTGAACCGACAATATTTTTGAAAACAGATATAGATTATTCCGTAATTACCTGATGTATCGATCGAAGTACGTTTTTAATATTATTGTGCTTCACGTAGAAATTATTAATTGACTAAAATACATTTTAAAATTGTGCCTCGATCGATATCTTGTAAATTTTATGAAGACTTAAAATGTTTTTTTCCAACAAGAATACTTTACACGAACTGTTTAAGTAAAAAACAAACCATTTTTGTTTTTTAAATAGGACGAAAAAGGTACTTTTATATAATACTGTTTTGTGTAAACATAGTTTTAGCATTGAAAATCATCGATGAAACGGTGTACCCGTATTATTTAATTGCTAGAAAAGTTAAGAAAAGAAAAAATGGACTCTATCTCTGCTAAATATTGATTAACTAGTAGTAAAACAAATAGCAGTAATAAACGTGAAATTCGATACTAACAGTGGGAGTGAAACAACTATGTTGCACAACTCGAATAGCGGACGTCTCAAAACAGCTGACCTTGACTCGACCAAAAACGACAAGTGGTGGACTTTTCAGCAGAAAATATCATATTTTTTTCCCACATAGGACTGTGTTACTGTGTGTGTGTGTGTGTGTGTGAAGGGAAGAAGAGCGTGCAGAAATGGTTAAATGGTCGCTGGTAATAATTATTGTGTTTAAGACAGAAGCAGAAGCGACCAAACACCGTGTGTTTGGGAATATCGCAATATGTTGGATTTGTGTCAAATACAAAACAGTAAGGTCGAACGACAGTTGTTGTTATAGTGGCGGTGAGTGGTAGTAGGCGAGCCGGAGGAGCCCTTATTAGGAAACTGGCCGTCTGTCCGTCCCGTCCTTCTTTAAATATTGTTATTATAACGCCAACCTTGCCCCCGACACACACACACACACACACACAAACGGCAAGTATTAGTCATCTTCATTAATCAAAAAAATATAGTGTACTTAAAATGCGCGAATACTCGGCGGTGTGTTACCTATATATTATCGGCTATTATTTAACACAGGAAGTCGTATACACCGTTCATTCGCAAAGTCTGTCCACAAGCGGTTTTACATAATATACTATCCAAAAGTGACGATTTATAGCGACCGTTTTGTGTGTATAAAAGTATATTATACGCGAATCGATTAATCTGATCTGCAAGACGACGCGAAACCCATTTACAAGACGTATAGCTCGTTCTTGTTTGTGCAAACCTTATGGGGCTCCCATATGGTTATCACAAAGCATCGCCTTCTACCCAAATATACAACGTCCGTAGTTGGTAGTATTGCTAATATTGTCGGTTTGCACTCGCACAGTAAATCAGTTACCTTTAAAATATAAACTTTTGCTTTTTTAACAATATACAGATTGTTAGGCCGAATATGTCTATAAATACATATTAAATATCCACCAGATGCCATGAAATTATAAAATCCAGTGTTAAGATATTTATAAAAGAAGAACTCGAGGTCTCAATTAGTAAGTTTTTTCATAATTTGTTCAACTAATAGAATATGAATACTTATTCTACATTTTCAAAATTATTATAATTTAAGAGTTGCAATGTTAAACGACAAAATTTGCACAAACGGTTACATTTAGGAATTTATCGCCTAAATGGCTAGTAATTTGAGAAACAGTTCTCGCCAGTTTAAGACCATCATCGCGCAGAAAAAAAGGTATTTATCACACAACAATCTCGAAGACTGACACATTTATGGATTTGACTTTTACTCTCTCAATATAATATTAACAATCGTTAAACAAAGTATATCCTTACATTGACAACCATTCACAGCGTAATCATCAGTAATCTTGTCAAGCAATGTTAAATTAATGCACTGTCAAAGTAATTCTGAAATGCGCCTAATCGAAACACTTCATATTTATTCAAACTGACGACTTAAAAATCGCATGATATAATAAAACCCAGAGGACGTCTTAATGATATAAACGTCTCAACGACATTATAGTATTTTTACCGAGGAAATGAGTATATTTTGTGACAACCAATTTTCGTTGGTCTCGTTAACATCTCAATGACAAGTTACAAAATTAATGAAATATCTACCAACAAACAAGTAATAACTAGTGTTAACAGACCGAGGGTGTGTCACGCCGGTATGACATGTATTGCTGGGCCCCTTTTTGATTTTTCGTGTCCGGTCAGACCAGCTGCGGCGAATGATGTACCTAATAAAAACGATTTATCTATCCAAGAGCAGAAACTTAAAAAAAAAAAACGACAACAAACTGTTGGGAAAATAATCGTTCTATGTCGTGGTCAAAATACACAATATGGACTGTTTTATACATATTTTTGAGCCAATAACAAGACTAAACTCAAAACGGGCGTGTAGGGCTTTACCGTGTGTTCTATTGGTCGATAATAAAACCTAAGTATATTATGTTCACATCCTGGAAATATCACGAATTAACTGCTTTGGGTTTTTAAGCAAAAAACGTTATCACAACTAGACCTACTCGTAAAAACGTGCAGCTATATATTTTTATCTTCTGCGAATGCGGTCATAAAAAACTTAAAAAAATTTAGATTTTACACTTGCTAAACGACAGGATAACGATTAGTTTGGCAACCGTAAAAACTATAAACCATCAACTGCAATCGTTGTACCGTATGTTCTCATACAAATTATAAATTAGTGTTTTTTTTTTACATACATATAGGCTAAACCTATACAATTAATGCCCCCAACAACTTTAATGCTCTTCTTTAATGCTCCCATTTCGGTCATATCCATCCTTGATTCTGGGTTTATTTTATATAATTATTCACTACCCATTAACAATGTTTATAGTATGTATTTTTCTGTATTTTTATTTTCGTTTTATATTTTGTTCTTATTTTAGTTTGTGTCTAGCTGAAATATTTCCATTAAAGGCTAAAAAAAAATAAAAATAAAGAGACTTGACTACAAAATAATAATATGCAAGTATAGAATATACTGTATTACATATAGGCACAGATAATATTTATAAAAGATATTTTAATATAAAAAAAAATAAAATACCAATTTTAGAACCTATTATTTAGAATACTATGGGATACATTTTAATTTCACTATTTATTTATTTTTACAAATTACAGCATGAATATTAATATTAACTAACTAACTGAATGACGTATATACACAAAAATACAAACCAGTCGAGTCGGCTAAACTCTTTTATGTAATCGAAGTTGATTTATTTTAATTGTAACAAACGGGTTTGGTTTGAAAAAAATATATATAGGAAGTATATGTAAAATAGAGTTAACTGATAATGTATTTTACAGTCGAATGTATAATAAACCGTGTGTAATAATAAATAAAAATTCATCGAACTTATTAAAACTTTACAACAATGTATACTTACCAAGGATAATATTATTTCTGTTTCTCGAGCTGTGTTCCAAGTGTTAAACGTATTTCTTTGGCCACTACACTTTACAGTAAACGTCCAAAAAAAGGTTTATATTTTTTACTTTAAACTACATTAAGGTCCACCGGGTCCGCGTTGAAATTTGCTTTAAAAGTGCTAATAAATTATGGCAGAGACATAAAAAAACGCAAACGAAGAACGGGTTTATCGATGACGAGAACGTGTTGATCGTAACGGCATAAGAAACAAACTGCGGAGGTAAGGCGCCACCCGAGAAGACACCTACGACATGTGTTCCTTGATACTGTTCAAGTCCATTATACCTAATGCGGTTATTCCCTTTCCATAATTTCTACCGTTTACCGGACTGAACTTCTGTCTACTGGGGCCAATATCGTTCATACATTATAGTTAACTAGTAGTATTATAGATACATATAATATACATCAAATAATACATAGTATTATTCGGATACAAATGAGTATAATATGAAGGAAAAAACCAATTAAATATTTTTATGTCAACTTCGAGTATTTTTTTTTTTTACAGTATTTCATGAGTAATTACCATCCATCGTTGGTGTAACACATAATTGGGGGCCCCTGGCTGAGCAGGCTCCTGAATTTGATTTATATTATTTACCCTCCCCACCCCTTTTGGCTGTGAATCCCTAATGTTGAAAAATATTCAAAGCCCCCCCGGTGATCTCCAGACCAAGGCCACATTTATTATTTACCTTATGCTATGATGGTTTATTTTATATCATACCTGAACAACGCGCTTATGGTTTTATAATAATATAATAATGACATGAAACTGTACAGGGTATAATATAATAGATTTATACACATACAGATTACAGGGTGTAGTTTTTTAAATACAAATCAATGATATATTATAGAGATTTGAACGATGACTTAAAGTTCGACCTTGCCCAACAAACGGACCTGGTCAGTCCAAGTACCTACCTAGTTGTCACATAAAAAAAATCTAAATTATAGTTCTGTATTACTAGTGAAATCATTATTATTGTTATATCATAGCGGTAGCTAAACGATGGAAATTTTCGTATCCTAAAACGTGCAGGCGACCATATGGTAGTGCCAAGGACTATGAAACATTGAAGAATCGGCATCTGGGTCATCGAGTATTAATATTGTGTGTAATGTGTATGCGTGTATATAAATATGTTATTATATTATTGTACAATTCACGAAGATTGATTATTATTTTTTTTTTATTATGACGTGTCCCATCTTACCGACCAAAAAAAATAACGTCCCATAAAGGTGTTGCTTAAATTGTAAGACATAATAATTACTATAGGTACACTGTTTGCACCTATAAACCCCAATGCCTAAATTATACTTACTGCAGTTCTCAATATAGTGTCCGATTATAAAAAAAACATAAAAATCTATACTTATTTAATATGTATTGTACACTTTAGCTGTTATCCCCACCATAATATTGCAATAAAGGTTAACGCAATTTCTTAACTAAACACCGAAGGGGGGCTTATAAGATTGACTATTAGTTCTACCTCTCTCCCTCCCTTTCAATCACGAGGGTCTATAGATGATAACAATAAATAGGTACAAGCCTGACCCGCCAAACATGTAGTATCTAAATCTGCTCAATACAAATAAAAAACCCATTCCATAAATTATTGACACATAACTCCCACAAAACACGAATTCCAAACATGTGGTAATATAACCACAAAGAAATCAGGGTCAAGTTTGACTGATAAAATAAAAAAAAATAGTCATATCTTCTACTATTTTTCAGCTAGACAGCCGAAATTTTTCGACACTTATCGATTCCAGCCAATCACATAAACTGTGCAAAATACAAACGTTTAAATTCAATCCCAGGAAAATAAAAAAATTTCTGTCAAAATGAAACCCCATCACTCAAACACTAACAAAAATTGCCATGGACGAACACACACACATCCAAGGACAGAATGCCAGGTCGTACTCCCATTTGGAGATTAGAAAAAAAATATTTCAAGGAAACCCTTGGGGTTCCTTTTTGGGTAAACAAAACCCAGTACAATTTAAATATGTTCAACCGTGCTAACCGCCGTCATAGGGACTAGTGAGAATGTATTTTCAACATGTACCCATAATGTGTTAAAACTTTCATGGATTAAACTATGGTAATTAGTTATAGTTGTCCAAAACGACAGCTAACTAATGATATAACACGGATAGATCCGAAAACGATCAACTTATACTTTAGACATGATTAAAGTTTGTAGATACTAGTTTATGATTAATAGCTTATAGGGGACAATAATTAACACAATATTTGATCTGCGCTATTGATTTTGATAAAATTATGATATAATAACCAGGTAGTGTTGTTATAACAAAATACAGTCTTAACTCTCAAGCTCTAATAGAGTAGGTAGAATGACCTACACTGCTCTGTTAATTTTGTCTGTTTAACAAATTTATTAAAAGTTACCATGCACAAAACAAACGAATAATTTGATGTGTACGTTTCTTGCTAACAAAGCTTGGAGAAAAATGTTTTTTCTCAACAAAACATTGGCGAAGGTTTGTATCTCATTCTCAATACCTAATTGTCATAATATAAAAAACGACTGATAGCTATTAGTTTTGAAACCAAGAGAAAAAAATCTTGTTGGACTGGCGTGTAACATAATTTTTTGGATTCTGGCCACAAATGCGTGAAATTATAGCATGTGTTAAATCATTTTACAGTAGAATTTCATTGTCAATCCAGTGATATCTTTAAATTGAATTTATTTTCAATATTTTAGAAATATAGTACGAATTTTTTTTTTTTGTTAAAATGTAAAAGTTTGAAACGCAGCCTAGTAGAAAGTATATGCCAAATATGTGATTATACTTTCAGTCGCTTGAAAAAAAAAAACTGTAATAAGATTTCCGTTTGTTCTTGTTTTGATCTTCCTACTCTTTTCAACGGCTTCGCAACATCAGCTTTATCATTATTAACAAACCTATTTGCTTACGGCTATCAGTTTTATCAATTTATTATTATTTATTAATTAACATTATTATGCTGAAGAGTATGTGGTAAAAAAAAACATTGTTCTATAATCACTTACACATATTATTAGGTATGACATATCAACGGTATTATAGTTATTATTTTACAAGTGTCCCAGACACAAAAATAAAGTAACATGAAAATAATAAAAACATTATTGTAGTTCCAATACCTTCTCAATTCCGCGTCGAAGCCAAAAACTAATCTTTTACATTTATTTATTTTGCATTGTTTGAATTTTATGATATGTACACTTATTTACAAGTCACACCAGTTATGTTCAACAATAATAATTTAACAATTGCTTGTTACCGCTATTTCTAAATCACATTTTTTTTTACAAATAATACACACTCAAAAATAATCATATTAAAATTATACGAGAAGAAAACAACAACCGCGGATGACGGTAATAAAAAATATTTTGAAAACCGCCAACTAAAACCAAAGACGTTATAATATCTTTACACGGATGTTTTGCATTATGAACTGATAACACATGTTATCATGTGTTATCTTTGGTTCAGGCACGTGTTGATAATATTGCGGTATGAACTATGAAAACATAAAACTATAAAAGTGCAAAATTATAAGTATTTTCAATTTTGTACCGTTTATTGTTATTTTCGTTCATAATAACGTTTACAATATATTGTTCACGGAGAGATTCGATTTTCGTGTAATTGGCTTGTACATTTTCCACCATGAGAAGGAAACCCAATATTCTTGTTACTGGTATGTTTATTCATTTTCTCTAGGTACTTTAAGTATGACCATTGTCAATTTGTTTTATTCTACTCTTCAGGCACTCCTGGTGTGGGAAAATCTAAACTATGTGAAGAATTAATTCGTAGTGGTTTGAACATGGAATGGATTGACGTCGGCCAGGTAGCAAAACAATTTGATTGTTATTCCGGATTTGATGAAGATCTGGAGTGTCACGTACTAGACGAAGATAAGGTAGATAGTTAGCTACTTATTAAAATAATAATAGTGTTGTTTACTTATAAACCACATATATTTTAGCTTCTCGATGAGTTGGAATCTCGAATGGAAGAAGGCGGAAAGATCATAGACTATCATGGTTGTGAATTTTTCCCTGAGCGTTGGTTTGATGTAGTATTTGTTTTGAGAACTAATAATACGTTGCTCTATGATCGGCTAGTAAAGAGGTAAGATGTATTACCTTAAAGCCTTTAGTCTTGAAAAAAATTTATGTGTGTAATTTTTTTTAATTTTAGTCGCGAGTAGAGTTTGGTTTTTTTTTCGGTTGAACGATATCACTCCTTAAACATCTTTGTTTTTATAATGTAGATAGATTAGACAAATCATATTAATGAAATATGTCTGTTTCTTAGAGGTTACTCGACCAAAAAACTACAGAATAATGTTGAATGCGAAATATTCCAAACTATATACGATGAAGCGAGGGATTCGTACGATAAGGATATTGTACATGAACTCCAAAACGAGACTTACGCAGACATGGAACGAAACATAAGTCAAATTAGTGCATGGGTAAATCAGTGGATAATAGATAATGTAGACAATTAAAAGACATAGTCTGATCTATGTTGTACCTAATCGTCATAAGTAATTACTTAGTATAAGTTATCATATACATTTATATTTTAACTTTTATTACTAAAAAAAAACCTATCATTAACTATTATGTAAATATATGTTATTATTTATTAAATAATTTTGTATAAATATTTATTTTATTTTTCTTAAATTGATTTATCTCCATGATAAATTATTTACAACGTCAAACGCATGGTTTACATTTTAAGTAGGTAAAATTTATTTAAACTCATCGGGTTAACTCAACTGGGTTATTTAATGTGTGAACTTACACCGTTGGAGGACCAAATAGACTAGTGTAGTTTATTATTTTTATTATTATTATTACTTAACAAAAATATAACTAAAAAAACAAAACGACAATTACATCAATAAGGTACTTTTTACATAAATTGTATGACAAAATATTATGATAAAATATGTAAACACATTTGTACACTAAATAGCCTAACATGCTTTGTATACTAAACAAAATGGGGGGGGGGCTCTTCGTTTTGTTGTACTTAACAGAATTTAAAAAAAAATTACAAAGTTTTTATTTACTTACATACAAAAAAAAAAAAAAATGACAATATTGCTAAAATTAAATGAAAAAAAATATATATAACTGATTAAATATTACACAACTCAAAACTGTAATTAATTAAAATAAAATACATAAAGAATAGAATTTTACAAGTACAACAAAATGAACAACAAACATACTGGTTATGATCTTGGTTCTTTTAACTTGACAACTCTTATATTGTGAGAACTCTGTATATGTGATATATCCTGAGGAGTTAAGAATATAAACTGATTTTTCCTGTTTTCAATGGCCATCATCAGCAGCTGAGTAGTAGCCAACCTATTAACGTTGTCCATGTAAACATCGTACTCGTCAATGGAGTAGAACGGAAGTTGCACGTTGCTCCACAGAGCTAAGATCAAAGCGACGGTCGCAAAAGTCCTTTCGCCGCCCGACGCGCATGAAGTGCTTATGTTGTCAAACATTGTAATAGTCATCGAGCCGCCTTCGTTTTGATCTATTTCAAGTTTGCCTTTGATTTTGCGCAAAAGTAAAACCAAATCAAACGACTCGATCACTTTGAGTCGAACGACTTCAATGTAGTTGCATAAAAACGATATTCCCAATTCTATCAATTTGTTATTGGTTTTGTATATTTCTTCGATTTGATTAAGCAACGTTTTGTGCTGAAGGAATTCTTGTTTTTTCTTTTTGTACTCGTCTCTCAGCACGAGGTGATTGACATCTTTTTTCTTCAGTTCCATTTCAAGCAGTTGATTCTTGTGATTGGTTTCTTCGATGTCTCTCCGGATGTCTTCTTCGTCGCGAGCGGTTTCGATTTTCTCGCACAGAGTTTTGGCCTCTTCCTCCTTTTTAGCGACATTTTTTTTCACGCTATCGGCTTTTTTTTCCAATTCTCTCAACGCGGTCGTTTTGGTTTTTAAATCGTCGTTGATTTGTGATATTTTCAACCGATTGCCCTTCACTTGGAACTCGAGAGTTTCTATTTGTTCCATAATTGCCGAGCGGTCCGTTTTCTCAATTGTCGACTGAATTTTAAGCAACCGCTCGTTGATCTCTAAAATTTCCTTTTCATACTTAGGTATTGGTTTCATCGCGTCTTCTTTGGATTTTTCCGCTTTGGCTATTTTGGAATTCACGTCGTTCATTTCTTCGGTGAGCGTCGTGATTCTATCGTCTTGTTCTTCGTCGCACTTGGCTCTGAGGCTGTTTATCTTTTTTGAGTATTCGTCGAATTTCGACTTCAACAGTCTGGTTTCCGTGTTTGTTTTATTCAAGAGATTTTTCTTTTCATTTTTAGACTGTTCGAGAGATTCACATTCCTGATTGAGTTTACGGATTTTTATTTCTAGATCGTTTTTTTCGCGCTTCAAATTGTTTATCGCCACTGAAACGTCACTTTGTAAAAGAACGGGTTCGCATGGGTTTTGCAAAGAATAGACTCTATAAGATGGGCTAGGATAAACTTGAGTGCCGTCCAACGTCAGACTAAAATGACAATTTCTAGGCACTTTGGATACGTTCTCCATCATGGGCATCGCTTCGACGGTATCGTCGACGAGCATTATTGTTTCGATTTGGTTATTGTCGATCAAACAATTACCAACAACCGGATTGGTAAACGTTAGCATGCGAAAAAGGCTATTTTTCGTTTCTTTTTCCATGATGTTATGAATGTGATCGAAAAATTTACTCGTGATTACAGTCGGCTTCCTTGTACCGCCCGGTATTGTCCTATCCATTATTGCTTGAAGCACTTTGTTGTCGGTGAAATTATCGACTAAGAACGTTCTCAGAGCACCTCTGCCCAAGTGATTTTCTATAGAGAATATCCACTTGTCATTGTTTACTTTTATGTGTGCCCCAATAGGTCCGATGGGTTTTTTAATGAACTTGTTTTGTGCAAAAGCAGTTTCGATAGCATTCACTAAATTCGGCATCCAGTTACCGTAAAAGTTGATTCGATCTTGTTGTTGGGACATACTGGCAATGTTTCTGTTAAGTTCACCCACTCTTCTTTGCAATGGACCTATCTCGTTGTTTTTCAAATTGCCAATTTTCTGTTTTATATCGTCGATTGTATTATTAAGAGTCTGCTCGTGTTCCACGTTGGTTTTCCAGGCGGCCTCCACTTCGGCAATAGTTTGCTCGTAACGTTTTAGCGATTCCTTAAACTGGCCAATGCTATTAGTATTGCCTTTCTGGTTTTCAATAGCTATATGCTTTTCCAATTCTTTTTTGTCGTTCATTAACATTCGCAACGTTGATTCATAATTCCTAACCGTTTGTTTGATTATGTCGTATTCGCTTGCTTTATTCTGTTTCTCCTTTTTTGCTTCCATAAGATCGAAATGGTTACGAGAGCGAGCTTCTTGGGCATTGGACAGTTCATCCTTTTTGACCTTTAAAATTTCCGATGCATTTTCAATTTTTTTCTCTAAATTGTGGATTTTGTCGCCGTAATTAGTAATGTCCTCCTTGTGGTCCGTTATCTGCCCTTTAATTCTGTCGTATTCTTTTTCAAGTCTCGATACAATATGCCAGGCGTATTCATTTTGAAAATGACTCCTGCTCTTCTTAATCGTTTCCAACTGTTTGGCCTTCTTTTCGTAAACTTCGTACTCTTTCACTTCTTTGAAACACTGCTCCAGAACTTCTTTAGCATTTTGCCATTTTTCATAGTATTCTTCGCCAATACGTTTTGTATTTTCAATACTTTCGCTGTACACGTCAGCAGACGTAGCTCTATAGAACAATTCATATTTGGCCTTTGGGTTGGCGCTTTTATGAAATGTTTTCACCATTGCTTGGTTCATAACACATATTGGGTTTTCCACTAAAATGTTAAAGTGAAGCACCATGTTTTTCAGTTCATTTTTATTGCCTTTTACGGAACGACCAGATTCGTTGAGAAATTTATAAGAACTGGCTGCATCTGTGATTTGTCTTACCACAGTTATCTGTTTCCCGTACACTTCCGGTCGATAAGGTCCCGAGTCAAAATTACCATCTCCGCCGTTTGCCAATGTTATCGATATCAAAGCCGAATGACAACCATATTTTATTAAGGACTTGATTGAAGTGGCTCTATTAGTAATGGTTGCTCGTCCACCTAAGCCAACTACCAGTGCGGTTTGAATGGCACTCTTTCCACTTCCGTTTAATCCAGATATGAAGTTAATTCTTGGGTTTAGCGTCAAATGGAAATTAGAATGACACATGAAATTTTCAAGCGTAATGGATTTTATACTACCGTTGTACCAATCGTCATCAGAAAATTCTCCTTCTTCTTCGCTATTTTCTATTAATTGAAAAAAACATTAAAAAAAATTAACTATGTAATATATTTTAGAAGATATTGGATAACCTTAAAATATTTTAATACAAATTCTTACTTTGGCTATGGCTAGAACTCATATTGAATAACTATTTTATCTAAACATTGAACTGATTTATTGATATAGACCTGAAAAAATTAAAACCAATAATTATAACTCAATTATCAATTTAAACAATATTTCTTAAAGTATTAAAACTAAAATAAACAGAGTTGAAACAAAAAACGATCAGTGTTTTTTTTTTGGTTTAAGCCCATCAAATACTTACCCAAAGTTATGTGGTTGGTAAAGTTATTGTTAGTGATAGGAATTCGAAAAATCTGGATTTTCATAACAAAAATTCTAATTTAGCCACATAAAAAATCTACATACATTGTTAAATAAAGACAATACTATTTTCTTTTTCCACTTATTATACTATAATGTTATGTGTGTGAGTTGAAATTTTTATTTATATCTGGCATCTTTCAGACATCTTGAAAAAATTTTAGACTTAGACGCATCATTAATATAACACTTTTTCAACACTCATGAACACTGTTGAGACAATGGTGTCCGACACAGTTATGTAGGACCTATGTGTTCATAACATGGTGTTGGACTAGTTTCTAGCACTCGTCTAACAAAATCTGCAAAGGGCATCTATTGGGCACTAACATTGCTACTCGAGTACGAATACACAGTACACTATACTACATTATATCTGATTAATAATAGTTTAAACGATATTATATTAATTATCAATCAAATGTAATCGTTAAAATCGTATAGAAAGAAGTGAATCGCTTAAAAAAAAAATATTAACTGTTTGTTACTAAACCTGTTAATTTGATTTACCTTATTTCGAAAATGATAGTCACACAATTCACATGAATTGGACATTCACGTTTCAGTTAATAGTGAATAATCATTTTTTTGTCACTCAAAACTAACGGCAGCGGCGATCAGATTATTTAGATATTTTATAAGTTAAACGTTGGTCGTTTACAATTTAATGAAAACTGAAAAGTCAATACTGTAATTGGCGGCAAAATATACAACAGCAGAGATAAGACGTGATAAGTGATAACAGTATAACCTAGAAAATATGCCGTGGCAATTCCACAGAATTAATGAAACCAGAATGGAAACCTAGTTTAATTAAAACAAAAAACCGCAGCCATTTTCTGAGTGGGTCTAACCCTTATCATTCGGTGTGCGTTATCATAATATTAAAACTGCGATTTGTGTTTTGTTAAATTTGAAATTTATTAATTTCAAAGTAGATTTCATATTATAGTCTTTTTAAGCTTATAAAATGGGAAATGAGGGATATAAATGTATTGTTAAAAATTGTAATGATAAAACCTCCAAAATTAATAAAACAATAAAATTTCATTAAATTCCAAAGAATAAAAAAATGTAAGTATATATTACTTTTGGTTTGTTGTTAATTTATATTTATTAGTATATTACATTTTAAATAATACATTTATGTTTAATTTTTAATTTACAAATGTACAACTACGCATATACAGGTTAAAAAAGGGTCCAGCCCGTATAAATAAAACAATAATAAATATATAAGATATACATTTTAAATTTACTACTTTATATTTTAAGGTGTACGATTTGGCTAAAAAACTGCAATCGCGTAGACTTGAGTGTTAAAAGTCCTCTGAGCCTAAGTAAGACATTCAGAGTATGTGGCACTCGTTTTGAGAAGAAAATGTACTTCACTGAAAAACTTTTGTTACATAGTGCTGTACCCACTATATTTTCAACAGCAACAACAAGTCCAATTGCATCGACTAGTACGACGACATCTAGTACTTTATGCCTTATTGGCTTTGGTACGTTGTCAGTTGACCGTTTCATATCTGTGGGGAGAACGCCACACGTGCAGTTTTTTTCGTATGAAACCTAGTGGTGGCATTCGGTATACAGTGCTCCACATAATGATCTTATAATCACAATCCAATACTTGTTTTTCAAAGGTTATTTGTTTTAAGTTATGAAAACAATTATTTTTATAATATTTTTTAAATTATTAGCTTAAATTTCAAATTAATCTATACAAACTCTCTTGGACGGAGCACAATAGAACACAATAGTGTAGACAACTGGATTCTAATTATTTAACTACAAACTGTTAGATTACGGGTTAACTAAGCAATATTGTTTAGTCAAGCAATTTTTTTTTATTTACATATTGTCCTTAATATTTAAGATATTTTTAATAATAGGACCATTTATAAAAAAGGGGTGGGGCAGTTGTATGATAAGATACATGTACAACTTTAAGTATTTTTCTACACATTGTTGATACAAAGAGTTACTAAGATTTTAGTAACGAGATATTTTGTAACTCGTGTCAATTATATAACAAGAAATTATTCCAATCTAATCAAAATTGAGACATTTATGGCAACTTTGTAAATGGAAACTATTATTTATCAAAACTACTAATATTTGGACAGACAATTTATTAAAAATGTATTAGTCGTGCTCTCTTCTGTTAATATTTTTTTTTTTAGTTTTTCAACAATGAAAATATATCTTTTACCATTCACAATTCAAAATATAAGGTTTTATTGTTTCTGAAATTTAATATTTAATCGACAATACAATTAGTAAATTTCTTCTAAAGTAATTTCTTTCATTTTGATACTGCTATTAAGAGTGTTATACCTGGTATACGATTTTTAGTCACTCTTAAATTATGTGTGACTTAGGTGAACTCCTTATGTCAGTCACACTACTATATTATGTGACTGTGGTAAATGGTAACCCCGTGTACCTAACCTAAGGTTAAAATACAATAATGTAGGCAGAGATGGTCTTAATGTTTCCCAAAACACTGCCACAATTACACATCTGTTTATTTAGGAGTAATGAATAATAATAATATTTTTAGCATAAATCACCTATAATAAACATATTTTTAATCATATAATATATTAATTTTGAAATAACTAAATTATTAACGATATATTTAATTTAATTACCTCTCAGTTGAGCACAAACTGTGCTGCTAAAGATAGTTTGGTTTTTTTTTTTTAGGTTCTTATTTTAACTCAATTTTTATTGTACCTTATTCAACCTGGTACAACTGCAACAAAATCGGAGACATTTCTCCGGAGACTGCCTAGAGAGCAGGTAAATAAAACTATCAATACAATATTATTATCTTTTTGACGATCATTGAAATCGTTGAATTAATTTTTATATTTGTTCTGCTTGACTATGTCATCTGTAGAGAGCGATATTTGCTTCATGCGTATTAGGCCGACGTTGTACTTTTTAGTACAAAATTTCCAATCGGAAATCGTTTAAGTAACTACTGGCCTATGAAATGTTGAATACACTGTATAATGCGTGGCTTTATACAAATAAAAACAACTCGAACTTTAAATTATTGTACTTACGATTACTGTTATCAAAGTCTGTTGCCAATATAACATACATAGAATTCTTCACTCGTTATTTGGATAGCCGAAAGTTTTCCATGACGATTTCCATTTTAAAATGTTGCTATTACTCAGACAAATACAAATTGTTTTTTATACAAATAAAAAGCCAAAACGCGTTTTGTATATTAATCATACATCTAATATAAATATATATATATATATATAATATTCTAATGAAAAATTATCCCATGGGTCGGACTAGCCAATTTTGGTCGTATCGTCGTATCGTGCAAGTACTAAAAAAAGGAGTTGGTGAATTTTATATTATTAAAAACAGCTAAGCATCGCATTTATTCATATCTTTTGTTAAACGACAGAAATAAAACTACAACTGTATACTTGCCGAATAACAAAAATAAAATCTAAAATAATAACAATTTATTTAATTCTTCGGCATACGGGACACTCGTATAGCTTCAATGTAAGCCCACAGATCTAAAGCTCTATTATTATAGCTTATAAGCCAAACGCATACAGGTAAAGTAGGTAGTTTCATTAAAATATAAAATGAGGGATTTTTTTTTTTTAGAATCATTTAAAATAGTAATATTTTTTTTATAACGACGAAACTGCGGTTAGGTTTTATACTTGTACCAATATAGTATACGAAAATTTAAGTTGGAGGTTATTGTTGGGCAGTGCGTTTTGTATGGCCAGTTAACATTTTTTATAGGAACTGCATTAAAAAAAAAAAAAAAAATCAATAAATATATCTTAATTAAAACAGGTGACAAAAAATCATGTTTTTTATTAGACTTACAAAGCGATAACAATTGTTTAAGCTAGAACATCCCTAATCTGCCGAATCTGGATAACTCGTCCATAAATGTAGAACAAGGGCGGAGAGTTAGCGATGAATGAGTTACTAAGGGTGAGGGATGGAGAAACCCGGCCCAGTGTGTAAATGTGAACGGCGAAAAGGAGTAAAAGAAAGGGACTAGTAGAAAACACGACCTGTAGCGTTGTAAAGAATATTTGATGATATTCAGTGACTGAAATGTGTCCATGTGACAAGTGCGACAAAGTATTTGTTTTCAAACACGGAAAAGGAAACGGCTGTTATTATAATTAGTTAGTAATTATCAATATTAATATATTAAATGTGTACATTTTATGTATATAAATATTTGGAATCCATCTAGGAAAACAAAACAAAATATAAGTAAGGCTTTTTCAATCGCACTAAATAGAAGTCGTTAATTGACACCGTTTCAAATTTTGTGTAACTTCTTTGCACTTATCTGCAAAGATATATTTAGATGTCATGACGAAAAATAATTAAAATTGGTAGAAGGTTATTATAATATGACATAAGATAGTATGTTTTAGAACATTTGGTATATTTAACTTTTCTTTCTAGGTGATTAATCCTGCAAATTACCCGGAGAAAATAATTTTCTCTTTATTCCAGTACTCACAAATGATACTTCTTTTAGACACAACTATTTATTAAGTCCTCGCCTTGTTTAACATTTTAGGTCATGCATTCGATAACGATTTTTCTATCAAACTGTTAAATGAGAATAATGTAACTATAAGAATCTATCATGCATGCACGCTATATTAATTTGTTAGGTACCATAGAAGAGTACACAGTATTTATAATAATATATATATTTTACATTTATATTATTTAAGTAACTGGCTATCCAGTTATATTTGTAACAATATTTTGAACTAAGCCAAAATGATCAGAATCACTGCTACGTGTACTTGTTTTTTGAGCAAGACCATTCGAGTTTGAGCCGAAAGCACTTTAAATGGTAAATTTACTACCACTAGTCTCTTCCATTGATGTGACGGTCGACTTAACAGTCGTATAAAGGTCATCGCCAGACTGTTTTATTATCATCTGTAAAATTGGTTGACAATAATAATTAATATAAAGCATTCCGTTTTATTATTTATCGGCAAATTGTTTTATGTTTACGAATTTCAGATATAGTTAGAATATCCAATAGGAAAATATCCGGATATTATTAAATATATATATGGACAGTTATTATTAAAAGACTCCGGTCAGAATTAATAATTGATCACGTTGAAACTGAGTTAACAGGTACTCTATGATGGTTTTCATAATTTTTCAATCTCACTGAACTGTCATCTAGACTCTAGGTACATTTTCGTTTGAAGACGTTCCCTGGAATCATAATATATTGTGGGAACGCTGGCAATATGTATATGTAAGACGAGCGTCTCGAGGCGACTGCAACAACTATAGATGTCGCGAGCTTTGCAATATGTTGCCATGGTTTGTTATTTGTCTATATAATCTATTACTTTTATATGGATTTTTTTTTTTGTTTGTCGATATTTTGAGAAATAAATGTTACAAATATTCAATGCGAAGTCAACTTACTTTCAACGGGGACTTCGGCTTCGCGACCGGCTTTTGCGGGGACTGTAGCTGCACCTTTGCTACTGTTTTCGGCTTTTGGGCCTTTAAGTACGACCTACCCGGTGGAACGCGGCTGCCGCCATTCGTGGACGACTTAGTGGGTCGTCTCACGTTCGGGACATTTCGCTTGTCATCGACCGCCGACTGTCTTGGCTGGATCAAACGTCGACGGATCGGGTAATCGTCATCCGGAAATATCGGTGTATGAGCTATACGGCGTTTCCGGTTGTGGGACGTGGACGGCTTGGACATGTCGGATTCCGAAACACCATTGGGTCTCGGCAGTATCTACAATAATAAGCCGAATAAATGTTTGTAAAAAATATACAGAACAATGCTTATTTTAATGTATTTGTAGTAAATACAATGGCTAATTTTTAATTGGTATTTTTTTTGCTTTTAACCAAACTGATCCTTTGAAGCCTGACGAATTTAAAAAAGCTTATATTTTAACTAGAAAAATACAATTTATTATGTAAAGTGTTTAATTGTATAATTTAATGAAAAAATACGTATGTATGTATGTATTTTGTGTTAAGATGGCATAGAAAATAGAATGTATCGGATGCCACTAATGTTATGTCATTAAACACACATAACCAATGTTAATAGGTATAGTACTGAACTCACGGATGGTACATTTGAATTGAGCGGTCGGTTCAATTTAACGATACCTGCAAATTGACCCATTTCGAATTATTTAAGCATATACTAATATAAACGTATTGTTTAATGTATATTACTTATGCTGCATTTGTCATTCAAAGACATTGTTCTTGCAGATGACTAAAAAGATATCGGCGAATCTTGTTTAGCTGATGAATATAAAGAGGCAAAAATAATTTTGCAACAGCGTATGCTTTAAGTCAAACAGATAGGTCAAAATTATTAAAAAAGACCGTATGTATAACTGTAGAGTAAACTTTTATGAAAAATATAATGGTTAACGACAGTTGATTATAAAACATAGATACTTGTAAATATTTATAAATCATTACTTTAATTTGGCCAATTATTAAAAATAATATCGTACTACATTTAGTTGTAGGTACACTATTATTGGATAATTAATAGGAAATTCAGATTTTGCGCGTTACGTTTTGATTTTTACGATGAACTATAGGTATTATACTTAGTAAATGATTATATAAATATAATGCAGTCGGATAGGAAAAACGAAACGTTAGACGTTTTTTTATAGACTAGAGTAATACTTAAGACAATTAGGGGGCTCCTCAAACAAACAATTTTTGTGAATAAAGCCATTATAGTTTATAAATCTGTATTTTTAGATTATTTTTTAAATGAACATCAATCACCCTTGACGTGCGCCAAAAGACAAAACGTTGCCAGTAATATTTCTTTTGGTCATACAGAGTTCAATAATTGAACCCATCCGGATTACTGCAAGGAAAACAAGGAATATAGTATTCTACAGTGAAACATTAAACGCTCGATGTGAGAAGAAAACGCGATTGTTAAGTACTTCACGGGTCTAAATTAGAGATATTTATGTATTTTATACAGTAAATGAAAGATGATAATTTAAACTTTAAGAGTTGTCGATAGGAGAAAAAATATTAGGTACTAGATGTTGACATGGATACAGAAACGTGCTTTGAAAGAAGATAGGAAAATCAAGTCAGATCAATTATATCCTGCACAGTGGAGTCGAGGCATAGTGATGAGAACGGAGTATATTGTAGTAGGAAAGATTACATGTCTACAGTAACTATTTTACAACTAAGATTTTGTACTTTTAAAAGTATATAAACAAATGGTATTAAATTTGATTCACGTTTTCATATTAGTTTATGAAAATTGTTGTAATTAATGAAAGAACGTCTTTGTAAAACAACAATTATTTACAGCAATAAACTATTATAAACTGGGTCTTTAAAATCTAAACTTGACAATATTCGTAAATCGTAGTCGTTTAAATAATAAACGGCATTTCCTTAGTTTATATAATTTATACATTTTTTAAGAGCAACGCGATTGGACTATCGATAACCGTACATTATTTATTGGTTAACAGTTGCTTTAAATTTATTCTGCCCGCAAAGTGCATTGTACAATTATAACACATTGTACACGGATGGTAATTAAAAGTAGTGGAAGGGGGGTTGAATACAATTAAATATCTACTATGCTATAATGTATAATAACGGGTCACGAAAAATTGAAATTAATTTTTAAAAAATAGATGAAATATGTCAGATTTCTTCTGTTGGCAGATTTCTGTAGCCGGTTTATTTCATTTATGGAATACTTTAAAATTAAAAAAATTGTCAAACACTTACTTAATTTATACTCTAACCGTAACAATCAAGTCTGCTTAGAGAAAACTTTTGGTACATTTAAAAAAAAATGGTAATTATGTTAACCCAACTCCATATCAGTTCTTATGTGTGTTTAAAAAACAATTTTATTCGAACTTGTCTTGAAGATCTAGATGAGATTTCGTCTCATATAAACAATTCAGATCTACCAACAAATTAATTAAATTTTTCGAATTCGGAAAACACTCCTTTTAAATTAACGAGTCTAAAAGTAGGTACAACTGACTATGGAAATTTATCCCTTCCAAATCAAAATGCCTTATTTTATAAATGCGGATATTTGACTAAAAAATGAAAAATACAATTTTTCTTATTAATTTTCCTAGGGTTAGTGTTAAAAAATAATGTAGGGCAAATATTAAAGGAAACATTCATTTTCCACATCCATGTAAACACTTTGATTTAATATTTTTAATAAATTCATACACACGTTTCAGAATTTTTAGTGTAATAAATATCCACAATAAAAATCGTATATGTCTGTAAAACAATCAAACAACCGTAAATTACCTATTCTGACCCATTTGTAGATTTTTTTTTTATCTTTGTAATTTTGTAAAAAAAAAAAAATGTATTATGTTTAACGTAAACCGTGTGTAGGTACCTAACCTAACTAAATTTTCTATTTTAATGTTAGTTGTTTCCAATTGTATTTTCAATCGTTAAATAAATTAAACATTTTTCTTTGGAATTGATATTTTAGTTACAAAAAAAAATTATTCAAAAGTCAAAACTTTGGTACATAGGTAATATGCACGAGCGAATCTTTTATCAGTTTTGTACATTAAAAACCTACCTATTATATTATTATAGTAAATCAAGTATACCTACTGAAATTAAAATTCTTCTTGAAACTAATTTTACCATGATAATTTATACAATTCTTCATTATCATTAATCATAATGTAAACAATGGGCTCTTTGATAAGAAAAGTCGGCCATTTACCTGACTTCGACATTAATTCAATGCCGTCAAAATCAAATTTTGAGTCGACATCTATTTTCAGGTGATTAAAAATTTAACTTGTTATTTTACTTTTGTACCTACACGTCTAATTTTTTTTTAAATGGTTTAAAGAAAGTGTTTGGTTTGTAATGGCAGTGTTTAATTGTATTATTTGAAGAAAACTCCACTCGTGAGTACTTTTTCTATGAAGTCTTATTATTGTAAATGTATTGTAATATATGTTGTACGTATATTTAGACAAATATTTATCGAGTCGTCTTCAGATTGCCCAAAGATGAAAAAGATGTTGTACAATATTCATTAAACAATAATTTATACTTCTCACAGTGGTATCACTGATCCTACCTGGAATCTGGATGTAAACGAAAAAGTGACGACTATTTGGTAAAGACCCATTTAGTATTATGTGTTACATCTATAATATAAAAATATATATTCATCTATACATACAAAACTAAAAATAATAATATTGTATAGATATAACATTATAGTGGTGTAGCCTTAAAAAGATGGCCGCCGCGTTTTTGTGTGATAAGGATCTTTAAAAAATTAGTTTTAAAATGATGAAAAATGGGAATAACAATGATTTAGTCTAGAATGTAGTGATCAATATCAAAACTAACATGTTCCATTGTATCCTATGAGTTTTGATACTAAAAATTCTTTTTCAATCTTAATTTATTTTATACTGTTACTACATGTGTCAAAACTGAAATTTTGTAGTTATTCTTTTTGACAGACGTTTTTGTTTATGTCGTTCTAAAATATTAGACAATATTCAAAATTGTATCTTTTTTTATTTTATTCCAGAGCTTTATCAGTTTTCAAAATTTAAATTTTAACGTATATATTTAATGACTTTTTTTAATTAAGATTCAAAATGTCGACTGGCCGATAATCATTTTTAGATGATTACTTTAAAAATTTTCAAAGTTTAAAAAGTAATTATTATCCAAAAGTGCATTATCGACCAGTCAACATTTTCATCAAATTATTCTTAATTAAAAAAGTTAACTAAATTTATACGTTACCATTTAAGTTTCAAAAGCTGATTGAGCTCTGAAAATACTAAAAAAAAAAAAAAACATTTAGTAATTTTATAATATTGTAAAATAACATAAAAAAAATTTATAATAATTACATACAACTTCCGGATGCACATCTGTTCGATAAAACATGTATATATATATATATATATATATATGATTGAATTGTGTTAATTATTATATTGTATAGATTTTCTAAGACCTCTACCGGATACCGATGATAATAATTATTGTGAAACGAACCTAAAAATGCATTTATAGCATACCTATTTATTAACATCACGGTTCCAGGTCACTGCAATACTAATCGCCTGACATCATAAACATATAACTATTGGTCATAGATAATAATACGATGGTTTCATTAATAATATGTAAATGGAAATTAAAAAAAAAAACAACTTTCAATCAGTCTATTTATTATTTTAATATATAACAAAATATTTTATGAATAGTACACGTTGTTATTTTATTTAATAATAATAGTACAAAACCACTTTTTTAGAATGATGTCTCGAGTTACTTGGGCTGATATGATTGATTACGACCAGTCAGGATGTGCCGACGAAATGCTAAAGAAACAAGTTGAAGCTACTCCTGATGCCACAGCTGTCGTTAACGTCGATGGTTCAATAGTAAGAATTTAAATTATTATTATTAGGGGAACTAAGACTAAAACGCTAGGTCACTTTCTCAAGTGTCTACCGAACAGATTTCGATAATTTTTTTTTTTTTTGTTATATAGTTTAACATCTTTTCTATGTGGGCTAAAAGCCCTATTTTTTATTTCTGTTTTCAAAAAAACTGTAGATTTAAGCATTTATATGCTTGCTTTTTTTATATAGTTTTTTTCTAATAAATATAACTAATTCTCTAATTGCAATAGTCGGCATTTTAGCCGGCATAGAAAAATAGTATATTAAAAATAGCTACTGGATCAGTTTTTGTCAAATTTTACCTATCTTACCTGTATTCTCTATGGCATCAGTAGTTACAGTGGGCAAAAAATGCGCCTAAATTCTTATGTTACTCGTGAGACGTACAGACAGTACATTTTGGATATCCGGTCCGATTAAGGCGTAAGGTATAGGCAATTTTTCGAAAAAGTAGATTTAAAATTTAGACCTATGGCAATTGGTAGCATGTACCTATAAAATATAAGAACAAATTTAAAAAAAAAACATGATTATAACCACATTTACTGTCTATAAAACGATTTCCATATATTATGTATTATAATGGTTTTTTACCATTTACATCACTTTCAGCTATGATCTTTCTTGATCTCTCCAATCCTGTTTTGAAATCGCCATGCCCCGAACTTAACCCACTTGGCTAGCTTTTTATCGTATTTGTTGTACACTCTGAAGTTTGACTCGTGCCCTAATTAATATATACACCATCACAATAATAATAATACACACATGTTTAATTAATAACGTTCAAACTGTATACTTACCTACTTATGAGTTGTAAGAAAATTAGACATCAAAGTGTCAAACGGGTTTAAAATTCGATAACAAAAAATATATATTATTTCGCATGACTGTAATTGGCTTATTATTGCAAATAAACTTTACTTTACTTTTAAACTACAATTAAAATGGACGACGTGCCAACTAACTAGTTAATGTTTTTCCTTTTTTTTCAAGAATTACTTGTATTAAAATAATTTACTGTCTTAAAATATGTTGTGTGATATTTTTCATTATAATAAGTTGTAACCTATTTGCTTGTAGTATATTTTACAAAGGGAATTTATTGATGTACATTTTATTAATTGTTGGTAAACTAAAAATTAAAAACAATGTTTTTTACAGACTACTTTTAAAGAATTAGACGAAATGACTGATGTTTTAGCAGCAAAACTAAAGAATTCTGGCGTTTGCCTCAATACAATCGTTGGTATAATGATGGAACGGTGTTTAGAATACACCGTCAGCTACATTGCAATTCATAAAGCCGGTATTATATATTTATTGCATGCAACAGTTTTAACATTAGTGCATAATAATTTATTATACCTATTATTTTTGTGTAGGAGGCGCATTTGTGCCGTTGGAAATTTTGTATCCCGACCTACTGCTAAACTCTGTACTTGAAGATTCAAAACCCAGACTGATTGTTACAAAAAAAAAGTTTGAACAGCGATTCCAAAGACAAGACTTGATTTTTTTAGACAGAGGCTGGTTTGAGGATTTCAAAAACACTGTAGACCTGTCACAACCAAATGAATCAAAACAGTTGGACGATTTATCGTGCATAGTATACTCGTCTGGTACTACGGGGAAACCAAAAGGTTCAGAAAATAATAAGAAACTATTTTTTTTGTTGAAAATAATGTGCTTACTTGTTTTTTGCCTTGTTATATAGGTGTATTGTGCCCGCATCGCGGAGCTGTATATTCATTCACGTGGAGACACAAAGCATACCCTTATGAAAGCACCGACAGAGAAGCTTGCAATGTATTTTTTATATGGGAGATGTTAAGACCTCTTTTAAAAGGTATAATCCTCGGCTTGACTTGTCTATGCTGACCTCGGTTTCCACTTTTCTCTCATTGCTTTTCTTGATCACTCTCAAGACGCGCCTGGCATACTTTACTAAAACCCACAATACTTTCCATGTGTCATCTCATTCAATCTCTTAAAGATTAAATCATTATATACATAGAATTTGTCTTGTTTACGTTAACGTCAATTTTAATATTCTTGTTGCATCTATTTGTCTATTATTGGGTTCTTATTCAATAGCTGTTAATAGTTATTGTTAATCTTGTTAAAAACAAATTGTGTTTTAAAAATTTAATTCTAAGTTTATAAGATAAATCGTGACTGATCTTAGACTTTTTTTTTTAAGGAGTTCCAATGTATATCATTCCGGACGATGTCGTTTATGATCCACCACTGTTGTTGCAGTTTCTTCGAACGAATAAAATTACAAGGATGGTTTTCACGCCATCTCTTCTTCAAACAGTTCTCGATTACAAAAATCTCAACGCAGCTAAAGGTCTAGAAACACTAAAGTAGGTTATTTGTTAATGGAACAATTTTTTACATTTACATTATAAATTGTATTACCTAATTTATTTCAGACAAATATGGTTGTGCGGAGAAGTGATGACTATGTCATTAAGGGATAGAATGGAGCTAATTGCACCGTGGGTTAAAATGTTTAACTTATACAGTGTGTCTGAATGCCATGACGTCGCGTGTGCTGGTACATAAAACATATTATTATTATTATTTAACGTTAAGGTTTAAGCCAAGGCGATTGAAACACTTTTTTTCATATAAAATGACAAGATGTTTCCAAGCGCAGTGAAATCGAAAACGGTACATTTGCCCCGGTCGGTCCACCATTGCCGGGAGTACATTTTTTCATTATGGACAAGGAATTTAAAATACAGAACATCGGCATGCCGGGAGAAGTAATAAGTGAAATGTGTTATTTCGTCAACGGAGTTGACACTATTTTAACATATGTAAACAGATACACGTCGGAGGGCCAACTCTTTCCATAGGATACCTGAACCGACCAGAATTGAACGCACAAAGATTCATAACACGGCCAAAGACAATACCATTGGAAATCGGAGACCGCCTATACAAAACAGGCGATTGGGGTTATCTGCGATTCGACGGGAGTTTAGAGATTTGTGGTCGATGCGATTCTATGATAAAAATTAGAGGTTACAATGTTGAATTGCAGGTCGATCACACTGACTGAAAATACAATGTATTCAAAAGGGACCTTAATTTAACACGGTTAAATGTGTTCCAGGCTATCGAAGCGACCATTTTAAACGAGCCCGAGGTGAATGCCGTTTGTGTTTTATCAGTCGGGGAAGAGTGTACCAGTAGCACGCATTTAGTAGCCTACACATCACTAATGCAACAATCGACATTAACCGCAATGGAATTGAAGAAACGATTGAAACTAAAAATTCCATTTTACATGATTCCGTCGTTTTATTTATTCCTCGAAAGGTATTTTTTATTTTTTACATTAAATAATTTGTATATTTTAATTTGTAAACATATAATCGGTATGGCAATGCGATAGTCAATATAATATTATGATCATAGTCGTTTTGTTAAATCCACTTGACAAAACATTTATAGAATTAAATTAAATGCTATATTTTAAACTGTACAATTACATTTGTATTTTTATTTTGTTGTTATAATTTTACATAACTTTAATTAAAAACACTTACAATAATAAATGTATAGCTAAACAAGACTCTGTTATTATCGAGTTTAAGTATTTATCTTCTTCTTTGTGTCGCCATTAGTTTTTATAGTTACCTACTGCAGTTCCTATGCTTCCTATTGCTAATACACGTATTTCATAATTTGTGTATGTGTATTATGTTTGAATAAATTTAATTATAACGATCAATTTGTTATTATAGATTACCAGTCGTGGAAACTTCGGGAAAATTAAACAAATCAGCACTGCCTAAAGTAGATTTGAACAAAACAAATGACATTTCTATAGACAACTGGAAAACCGAAACTGAAAAGACCGTTGCCACTATATTTTGCAAAACATTACAAATGTACACCATTGATGTTCTGGATAATTTCTTCGAAAACGGAGGGTAAATCGTGCACAATATAATATAAGCTATCATCTTTAATATTATGTTACAGCATATATGTATAAGTATGTAACGAAATACGGTATAAATCTACTTTAACGGGTACATTTTTTTAATTTTTTTTTTTTTTAATAACACATATTTGCCTGTACAAATACACGTCTGGGGGAGAAATGGCCACTTGTTGGCACTCTTGAGTGTCAAATTTGTCTGGCAAGTGTTAGCATTAAACCCAAAAACTGCGAAATTCAATAAAGCATCTGAGCCCTAATTGATAGAGAATGACCAGACGTCAAACGTGAGAAACTCTAGAATTTACTAGAAAAATATGAACACAAAAACTGTGAATAATAAAATTACATTACAAACGAACGGTGGCTTTGATGAAGGTACGTGACGTCATAGGATTAAGTGTTATGTTGGATCGAGTGGAGAGAAGTGGTCAGGTTTTTTTTATAGGTGATAAGATAACTCCAATGATACTTAAACAATAGTGTGTAAAACAATAGTTTTACAAGCGTGTAATGAGACCGGCTGTGTTTTATGACTCAGTACAGTATAGACAATCGTTGTGATAACGACCACGTTATTAAATATCTCTCCATTAAACATATTTATTCACCGAAAATAATCGCTTTATTTTTATACTATTAACATCATAAAAAGTGCGCGTGCAATCCAGTGTCGATTTTGAGTTGGACTGCCCAAAATCAAAACAGTGCTCATTGCATGTTAAATAGTGCCCTCTTATCGGCGTTCTTACTACTTGTTTATCTAATTTAATAATATCGAAGGTAATCAAATTACACTTATCCAAGTCCACAGTGCTCATTTATATCATTACAAATCACTTGCATAATTTGTCGTCTTATTGTGAGTACGAATAACACGCATTTTAAGAATAACGACACACAAATTAGGTCGAGTGGGTATCTCTCTGGATATTTTAGCTGTACAATTGGGTTTAGAGTCGTTGGCCTCCAGAAGGTTGTACAACGACATAGCTTTTATTCATAAATTAATAAACTGTAAATTATCCTTTCCAGAATTCCTATGCAAAACATACTTAAAAACTCCAACCTTTAATTCAAGAAATAATCGCCCGTTGTTAATACCACAATGCTCCACAAACTTAATTAAACATAGTCCGGAGTATCGCATATTAGATGCATATAAGTACAATGTACATAATTAGGATTTTTTCCTTTCATTCCCAACTTAAATGAAAAAATATTATATTAAATATATTTAAGCCTACACGTGTTTATTGTATATAAATATATTTACTATTATTTCTATTTGTACATATCTAATACCCAAGTTGTTGCTGTATATTATTTTCTATAACTTTAATAACTGTACTCGTTACCCCTTTGGGGTGTTAAAACTTTAAATAAATAAATAGGTATTACATTTTAAACACAATAGTTTTTGTTTTAGCTATCTCTATCATTTCAGCCATTGATATGTTTATAGATCCGAGACCGTCCCTACTCCACTGTGCTCCGTTCTCTCTGTTATGGATGTTTTTTTAATTCATTTTTTTATTTATTATAGGCATTCATTATTGGCTTCAGGTGTAATTGGCGAGATCAACGACAAGTTTAAAACTGATTTCCGTGTTCACGATTTGTTCCTCAATCCCACGGTTGTGGCAATGTCTTCTTTACTAGATAAAAACATATCCACGAATAAAGAAATAAACTTGGAAGAGGAACTCGAAAATCAAATTGATAACTCAATTATTATGTAACGATTATTATATATTTTTATGGTTAAAGTGTTTGTTATGTTAAACATTACAATATAGTTAGTTGTTATTTTATTTTAGTCCAAATAAAATGCTTCGCGCGTTTTGGAGGTCTGTGGACATTAATCGAAACAAGTTTCACAATGGAAATGTTTTACTGACTGGATCGACAGGATTTTTAGGAGCTTTTATTCTTCACAGGCTATTACAGACTAAAGTAATATTAATAGATAGATAATCATATTAATATCTAATAATAATTTGACATGAACTCGTATAAATACATTTCTAAGACATGTATTAACTGTTAAACTAGGCAAACGTTTTCTGTTTGGTAAGAGACTCGGTTAAATACAGGCCGTTAGAAAAACTTGAACGAACGATGAAAAAGTATAATTTAGACCTTGAACCATTTCATTCTAGAGTGACTGTCTTAAAAAGTAAGTACATTATTTGTGTATTGGCAATACAGGTGATTACTAATTAAATACAGCGGCTATTGTATTTGAAGTAGTTTTGATTATAATATTTATAAATAATGAAAACGCCAAAATATAGATTTTGGGATTTTCCCAATATTGGGAAAAATTTTAAAACTTTTTTAATTATCACAAATTACAATTATTATTTCAGGTGACATTACCTTACATAAATTTGGATTAGGCGATGCCGATTATGATGCCTTGTGTTACGATATCGACTATGTTATACATGCTGCAGCACAAGTAAACATATCTTACCCGTATGGAACATTGTACAAAGATAACGTTTTTGGAACTAAAAATGTCATCAAATTTTGTTTGGATGAAAAATTAAAGCCTTTACACTTTATAAGGTAGTTTAAATACATTATACTTATTGTTGCTTAGAAATATGAACTCCTCTCCACCACCTGTTGAAACATTGCTCTTCTCGTTTAATTTTTCAATTTCTTTGTTTTATTTAAATTAACTGTTTATTAGTAAATTATTCATATAAATCAAGTAGGTACTTGATTTATATGAATTATATGATATCGTTCAAGGCTTATCCGGTATTTTTAATAATAAAATTAAACGAAAAAAATGCATTCAAAAACAATAATCATTTTACTTGTACATATTATAGTTCGTCATCTGTTTTTCCCCGCGGCTTAAGAAATATACAAGAAAATGACGACATAAAGAAATGGGCGCCATTGTTAAAAGAAGGCTACGGACAAACAAAATGGATGTCGGAAAATTTGATTTTGGACGTTGTTAAAAAAGGATTTCCGGCTTCAATATTTAGATGTGGAAACATAAGTGGAAGTAGATACGTGCAAAGCTGTTGGAACACGGCAGATCTTACTTTACTTCTCATACAAGGCGTTCTGTACACCAACACATGTCCTGATGTCGATTGGCAGGTGTATATTATTATATTTTGGTTTTTAAACTGTTAAAAAGAACGAGGTATACCTAATGGTACTTATAAAAAATTGCATAGATTGAATTGACACCTGTGGATTTTGTAGCAAATACCGTTGTGGAATTGGCCCAGACGTTAGATAAATCTTCAGGGAAAATCTATCATCTGGTCAATGATCCTTATGATTCAGAGTAATTTTCAATAGACTATTAACACATGATCAATTACAAAATATCAATGATTCATTTTGATTTCCCATAGAAACTTATGGCAAACTATGAAAGAATTTGGCTACGATTTAAAGAAAGTGCCCTACGAAGAATGGTCAGAAACAGTGGTTAACGAATCGATGCCCGAGTTGGCCAGTCTTACTTATTTGCTGAATTCTACGCTTAAACAAAAATGTTACTTAGAAAATCAATCTACCGTAAAAAGGACAAATTTGGATGCATATTTATCTTCAGTTAACACGGTGTATCCTAAGTTAGACAATCTGGAATGTCTGAGAATACTAAAAACTCTAAACGCGTTAAAACTAATACCACAACCCGATGTTAAAGGTAATAATAACAAATATTTGTGATGTTGATAATAAAAAGTTGGAAGAGGCCTTCAAAGTAAAACAGAGGTTCAAGCATAAAATCGTATAACGATATCACAGATTAGATAAAAAGGAACTATCTGCACAGAATAAACTGATGGCAGTCTTAGAGTTTATCAAGAAACGGTCAAAGATCTTGAGTTTTAGCCAGTGATGCCAAAACTTAGATAATTCCTTTTTTTCTCTCTGTGATTCATGGCTACACTGTTCATTTTTTAAATTTCGCACACCGACAAAAATGTCGCGGCTATTTTCTGCATTTGACGAATGATCAGTTTAGCCGAAATGAAAGAAAAATCAGAATTTCCATGCACCTACCAGCACTGTCCGTTTTAGCCCATAGGAGCCCGTGTAAAAACTGTATAGTTTGTTCTCGGTTTTCTTCTAATTCGTGATAATATATTCGGTTATCATTTATTTCTTATGATTGATAAGGAGTTTGTATAATAATATTGTAAAATATCTGCACGATAATTTTAGACTAATTCATGTGGCTACACTGACATCTTTGCGAGTCCCTAAGCGGTCTTTTTAAAAAATTCCTTTGTTTTCGGTCGATTGAGCTATCTGTTTTCTTATAGTCCGTGACTGTAGTCTTAAGTACAGCATAAACAGAAAAGAAACAACACAATTTGTACGAATATATGTAGATACAATTAGTAATTTTAGTATAACCAGTTCCAGGTTGGTTAGGTTAGGTTCAAAGTCAATTGACTCTTAATTTAAGCTGAACATATCCAAATAAACATATGTACTGGTTATATATATAAAGAAAAAAATAATACAGTGGTTGGGACAAGTCAAAATCCGTAGATTTTTAAAGCCATGATATAGCTAATGATTTCTCAAATCTATCACAATATATTTACAGTATTTTTAATGACTTTATTGTTCTATCAATAAGAATTTAACTTTTTAGACGTACCAAGTGTACCACAGATGCTACAACAGTTACCGTTAAAATCAAAAGTAGTATTGATTACTGGAGCTACTTCAGGAATTGGTTATGAAATAGCCAAGAAGCTTGCATTGGCTGGAGCTATGGTAGTTCCTACTGGTCGAAGAATGGACAGATTAATAAAATTGCAGAACGAATTAATTGCATTAGGCATTACCAATGTTGTACCATATAAAATGGACGTTACCGATCAATTGGATGTAATAATTAATACTTACCAGTTTTCAATATAAATTAAAAATCGTGTACAAAAAAATATATACTGTAAATTTTGTTTAGGTTCAAACAGTGACTGAGAATATTGATAAAACTGTTGGTCCAATTGATATCTTGGTCAATAACGCCGGGGTTTTGTTTTATACTTCTTTTGATAAGGTCAAGTTAAAAGAATGGGAGGAAATGGTTCAGGTTAACTGTAATGGTATGCTTAATTGCCTCGGGGCTGTACTTCCTTTTATGACATCAAGAAAGTCAGGTCATATAATTAATATTACATCAGATGCTGGTCGAAGAGTGAGTAAAAAAACTGTATATTTATTACAACTTGTTAAATTTATAACTGCCAAGTAGAAATATACCTTAATACCACAAAGACAGGAAAAAAAAGAACTTTGGTCAAACTTATCACGATGGAAAAAATTGACTGTGGTTGGACTACTTTGAAGTTCTTGAAATAAAATCAAGAGAAATATTTTTTAGGAAATTTTACACATTACAATGAACGCTTCTTTTCGTTGTTACTTTATTTTTCAATACAAGCAATTTAAAATAACACTAATGACCATTGCGGGGCACGGTGTGTTAAATATAATCATTTATAATACATTCTATGCTTTATTTAGTCTTTTGCAGGCCTTGGGGTGTACTCGGGTACAAAGTTTTTTATGGAAGGTGTGTCTGGTGCGTTGAGAACTGAAATGACTGACTATAATGTAAAAGTAACGTGTGTTCAGCCTGGCGATGTCACAACTGAATTATTTAACAGGACAAGCGATTTCGAAGTAAATACAAATAAATATTAAGGAATCTGTATGTTGATACGACATACATTAGCTTTATCCCTCCTATCATCCCCAGACCCTTCGTGCTTAGTCTCCGAAAAATAATATATTTAAAGCTGTGACCTTATGACCAAATTGAACATCAGATCTGCCCATATAATTACAACTGTCTACGACGTGTGCCTACTTATATACTGTTTCTATTTGTAGGCGAAAGAACGTTACGACATCAGTTCCAAGTGTGGAATCCAAATCCTGAACCCTTCAAATGTCGCAGAAGCAGTTTTATTTGCATTAACACAACCCTCATTTTGTGCTGTCAATGAAATTCTCATCCAACCGACAATGCTTCCGCTTTGATTTGTATTATCATCGAATGATGTGTTATATTAATTGGTTTGTATTAATTATCATTTATATGTTGTTTTTGTTTTGTTTTATTGACACAACTCAAATTGCAAATCAACTACTAAAAGTATACTAATTTTCTAAAATTCTATTCTATTCTAAGCCACCGTACTGGCTTTTTTTTCTTTAATAGATATAACGATAAACAGTATGAGGTAAACAGCAAGCTAACAAAATGGAACTTTTTAATCGACTTTTATTAATTATTACTTTTTGCTATGTAAAATACCATGACATTTTGGACATAAAAAATACCTAGAAACCTTCAAATTTGGTCTCAGAAAATGACTTCAAGCACAGTTTACATTTATAAGGTTTTTCCACCAGTGTGCGCGCGTTTGTGTACTTTGAGGTAGGATTTACACGAAGAGGACTTTGAGCATACTATACATTTATAAGGCCTTTTGCCAGTGTGCCCAAGTTTGTGGTGTTCAAAGTGGTCTTTTTGAGAAAATGTCACAGTCGTCACCCTCAATATTTTGTTAAGAATGTATTCCTGTATACTGTACCTATGAAGTATAATATTATATTTGTATGTATTTGATATTATATATTCTTAATATATCGTTGTACTCGCTTATGATCAAGTATTAATCAAGTATTTAATTATTTTCTTTTATAATTTGGTTTTTTTTTTTTTGTAACCTGGACAGGTATACACATTTCTGTGTACCTTTCAACCCATACAGTACTTTCACAACGACTGTCGCATTGTAAACGAACGAAAAACACCAGTTGAATACACGCACTTAGATACATTCTAAGAACAGTGATATTTTATAAAAACAATATTTTATAGGTTCACCAAATCGTCGTGGCTCCTACCTGCAAAATAAACAAAAATAATTGTTGCAGAAACACCTGGGGAGGTTAGGTTAGGTCACACTTCGCCCCGGTCGTACTGTACTAGACTTTTATTGACATTTTTAAATAAAGAACAATTTACCGAAAACGTAGAGCAATTTCCAATATTTGGAGTTTTGATATTTTAGCTTCGGTGCGGAGCTGAGAAGGTATTGTTTTTACAATGATGTGTTTTTATTTTTTATTTTTGTGTCTGGACCGTAAACCGCTGAACCGATTTCTTCGTGTAGCAACTCTGTAGATCAGAAATCATACCTGAAAGGTACTTTATAGGGCTAATAATTTTAAAAAGTCACCCCTTCCCCATCAAAATCGAGAAAAACACCCAAAAAATTTACAATTTTTTCAACTTAAAATTACTATGCTCTAGAACTTTTTTAAAAATAGTCGAAAAAGTTCCAAATTTATATGAATTGTTCTTCAAACATAGTAATATGTTACTAAACATTAACAAATCAAAAGTTTTTCAGCCGAGTCTGCAACCACGAAAGAGTATTTTCATGTCTCGTTGAAGTACCAAATAAATTTAGAGTAGTGGTGGAATTATAGATAATGATATAGTATATTAACAAGCGGTAACAAGCCAGTATATTAAAACGTCAAGTTTCTGGCTAAAATTATAGTGTTTATTATCTGGCTTAAAACAATTCATAGAGAATTTGGGCTCTTAAACTGTTTTGAATTTATTATTTAGTTCTAATTTGAACGTTGAACATACAACATATCTCTTATCTCTTATTTCCTATATCTTATCCCAATCCCCTACCCACTATCTCCCACCCCTATCACTCACCCCCTATCACCTACCCCATATCTCCCACCCTTATCTTGTAACCTCCCCAACCCCATTCTCCCCCTATCTCCTACCCCTATCTTTCACCCCAACCCCATTCCAACTCCCAACCCCATCTCCGTGTGGTAACGCTTTTTTCGTTATGCTTTTTTCGGTTATGTGCCAGAGCAAAGACATGAAAATGTCAAAAAATATCATAAACCCTTTCCCCTAGAAGGAATAGAATTTTTTTCTTTATTTCACTTTTTCAAGCAAAGTTTTAGAGATTTAGATCTGAAAATTAGACCGAAGGTAGATCTAAAATGGAACTATAACATATACAGTTTTCTAAAAAATCTGTAGTTAATTTTTTTTTTTTATTAAGGAAAACCCCCAAAATTAGGGTAAATTTACACTTTGGTCGTAGCGTCAGTTTCTAGGTTGCTATGTGTAGTGAATCAACAGTCAACAGGTAATGATATTATTTTCATTATATTGTTAATTACGATACATGGGCAACTATGAAAGTACATTTTTATTGGCAGACGATCAACCCTTATCGTATCCACCCTGCACAAGACTAAATATTAAATTTTGAGTACATCATGCTGGTCTCGCGATATCTTCTAAACCGCTATAACTGGTTTGAACATATTATCCACAGATCTGCATCAAAACGTTTATTTAAAAGTGATTTTATCACTTTCAGTTATAATGAAATCTGTTGACCTGTGATCTCTCCGTCCCCACTATGCCTCGACCCCTCTGTACTGGCTTTTTTTTTTTTAGTAACAATTGTGGAAAAATAGCAAAAATTGTAAAAAATGGACCTACATTCGGTGGCATTAGTTGATAATATTTAAACTATACTTTTGACAACAATATTTTTGGCGATACAGCTGCGACGGCTGACGATACACAAATAAAACATTTTACCTCGACGCTAAAAGATATGCTTACCCGGTGAATTGTGAAATTTAGTACCTATTTTTTTTTGTATGTAACACAATAGAAGTTATAACAGTAAATCGTTTTAATATTATGTTTATTGTAATTTAATAGATGATTAAAAAAAAACAAAGAAACAACCTATATTTTAGAAAATATAAATATGAATCGGTCATACAAATAAGGGAATAAGTGAATAATTCCAAAATTATGGAATACACAATTTTTTAAAAGACCCTTAGTAAATTTTGTTTTATGTGTTCAAAAGATCACTCCTTGGTTCTTTAAATTCAAGAATCACTAATCAATACTTCAAAATTGTTCTACTTGTAAACGTTGACTCGCGATAATGGTTTCTGGAGCAATGTTAATACGATGTGGCCACTTAGAAAAATCAAAACACATTTTCGAACAATTGTGTCTTAAGCTGGTTTTAAAAATAGAAGCCTAAGAAATAGTTTCTCTCTAGATGTACATAAACGTCATATAACTGCAATTCCATATATGCATATTCTCTTGTTGGCATTTGGATTTTTATCTGGTTTCAAAAATATTCCTAATAAAGATTTTGGAAATGTTAAGTTTACATAAACAGAAAACTTTTTCGTTTTAGGATTTGAATTCTTCTTTTTTTTATGGACTGTTCGGAGAGATATAATTCTAGTGACCATTGTTTATTTTAAAATTCACTCTCAAAATTATGCCTATTTTTTTAATAATTTAAACACGACTCTTATTTTGTGAATATTAAACCAATTTTAAAAATGGTTTTCTCCTCATTTATGAAAATAACAATCTCTACAAAAAGGCTATTGTAATATATTTTTTAATTAATTTTTTTAAGGGAAAAAATCCTTTATACGAATAACTAACCGTTTAATTTGGACAATCATAAGGAAAGGCCATAATTCATATTTATGTATGTTTCAATGTGTTTCCTTCGAGGGAAAGATGGTATAAGTTTTTTCAAGTTCATTTTACACTTACTTCGAGTTCTGGAGCTATTAAAATGAATGCATAGACCGCGTTTAACAAAATCCACCTTGACATTGTTAAAAGGCCTCTCACACCTGTATATATTCTATTGAGCACAACTTTTTGTAGGTAACATTCTTATTTTTTTTTAGATTTATATGAAACTGTGTTATTACTTGAACCATACTTTCTTAATACTAATATTTTTCTGCGTGTATGTGTTATAACTTAGATTGTACTTAGGCCGAATGACCTTTGTCCCACGGAATTTTCAAAATCAAAGACGTTTTGTCCACTAAAAGCGGTCTACTTATATGAAATAGTTTATTTTCAGAAATGTCTACAAAAAAATTGTCTGATACAATAAAAGTCTACAATAATGTCAACTAGAAAAAATATTGTTTAACCCATTCATAATCAGCACAATCTTACATATTATCATGGTTTATCTATTTCCTATAAGCAAAGCTCGATTTGCATGTGAAGTGCAAGTGGTGATTTAGTTACATTTTACTAATATTATTTACATCTAATAAACAATAATAAACTAATATAACACAAAAGCGGAGAGAAAAAAGCAAAAATATAATGACAGTATTATGTCTAACTATGAATGAATATATAGATATAATTGTACAAATAATAAATAGGTATATTATAATATTTAGCTTAAAAATATTTTACAGATCATATAATAACAATTGACTTATACATCTATTGACGTTAGTTTTGGTATTAGTTCTTAAGTATTTTTTTACATTTAAATTTAGAAAGTTGAATAATTTACGTGCTAAGTAATTAATGAATTTTTGGCATATATTTTTTTTGCATAATTAATTTTTATGTCATAAGCTGTATTTAATTACGCTTATTAAATATAAAATCATCCAGCGAAGAAAATTGTTTTAATGTAAATAAAATAGCAAATATTTTGCACAACAGACTTACAGGTAACACATTAAGTTTGAACAACTATAAATGTTAATAATCTTAAGTTGACAATTATTAGTCTACAATTATTTATTGTTTAACCCATGTTATTTCCCCAAATCTTGCAAGTATGATAATAATTCCAGCTATCGTGCATCAGTCGCACATGGAATTACAACAATTATTAAAAAAAATATATACATCAAGAGCCGGAGTGAACACGATTATTTATAATTTGGCAATTATAATTAGCCATTATCATTTAATTAGGCTGTATTGATTACATTTCAACAGTAACATTAGTTTGTTAAATAACAAAAATTGCTTATAATTTATATTTGGATTTCTTGAGTTTGGATTTTGGTAAAACCGTATACTACAGCCGGTATTTTTGTAAATTTTACTCAATTTGCAATATCAAACATAAACAGATATTTTATCCACGCGTAGGTTTGAATTGAACATCTATTCGGTTTCTCTAGGTTTTTTTTGCAGTCGTTGTTGTAAGTTTTCTTATTTGTACAAACGTTTCAAATGCAAAAATATTTCACTGAAAAAAAAAATGGATTTTTTGTACGATCTAGGTCGATTCACTACCATTCGTTTTGTTGACATTGTGCATATTGTTGTTTTCAAGATTTCACATCATTTTTTTGTCCCTCTGAATAATTTTTCTGTTAGAATAAAATATACAAAACCAACTTCACGTGTAATACATTTACACTATACAGTGTACTTCAGTTACATCTACTTTAAGTCTAATTTTAATTCCAAAAACTATTGTAAAAAACAAAAAATAAACAAAATTTTCCCCCACTTTTAGGGAAAAAAGGATAAATTAATTCCAATATTTTTCAAAACAAACATGCTCAATTTAAAAGTGAATTCAATAAATTAAATTTCATCGCTTATTTATCAAAATTAAATGTATAATATTTATATATATATATATAAATATATTTAATATCATATATAATTAAATGTATATATTTAAAACAGCTAGCATAGTGAGGTTGAAGCATTTAGAGTGGGGGGATATCACAAGTCATCCAAAATTATTATTAACAGAATGTCATAAATCACTATCAAATAAACTGCATGTACTATCATAGTTATTTTTATTAAACTATTATAATGCTTTCATGGTCTATTTTGTACAAGAAATTGATAAATCCATAACGTTTACAAGATCTTTCAAAAGTATTATGTTGGTTTTGCAATGAAATATTTTTTCGGATTTATACTCGGCCATTGATTTTTAATTTTTGTTTTTATGTTTAACATATTCAATGTAGATACATAATATATGTGTTATATATGTATTTTATTTTTCCATTCCTTGCTGCAATTGGTTTTGGGGCACCTACAAGTATCCACATCTGGTCAATGACAATTTTACTATTTTAATTTTTATATTTATTTAAATTTCTTTTGAACGTATTCCATGGTTGTATCTCTGTTATTATTTTTCTGAATAGTTGTTTGTTTATACAACCTACTTTCCTACACGAAAACGTATCGAAAAAACGTTTTAAGTTGTGTTATTTATTGAAATAAGAAAAAAATATTTGCTTTTGATGTTTTCTATGCTTGTCCAAACTGTTACCTGTTGCGCTAAATAATAAATATATAGCTGAAAACAAAAACAACATCTGTAAAATCGACCTAGTTGTATTATTTAAAGTCTCCACGGTCAAAATGATTTTGATTATTATAATATTGCGGGACAATTTCTCTATTTTACTTTAGCAATGATAAATTGGTTGTATGGTTGTGAAAAAAAACCAAATTACATTATTATGACTTACACTAAACTGCGCATCTCTTACGGAATAAGAGACAAGGGCTCCGTGTGCAGGGTGGATACAACAGGGGGCTATGGGATCCAAGAAGGACTTTCCCTATTTGGATATGAATTCGTTGTACTGTGTAAACTTAAACCATATGCCCTATAATTTGTATTACCCACTTTAACCCACCTTTACATTCAACCCACTTTTGTGGCAGTGGCCAGTGAGCGCTGACCATGTTCCTTGCATTGTCGCTGCCCGACACTGCCTCCAAGGGCTGTTTTAATAATACGAAATAAAAAAAAATGAAATATATTTCGTTAAAAAAATACCTTGGATTCAAAAAAAGAATCCAATAGTAAATATTATCCCATTGCAAATAAGTCATACAGAAAACAATATCCTAAATAAACACATTTTTGTAGGAGTGACATGTTTAGTGTACTAAACATAATAGCATAAGAAATTGCCATACAGTCAACATACACTGAGTTCTACTTCAAAGCACTTGTCAACAGTTTCAACAGTCATTATATATATATTAAACTTAAAATGAGTACTAATTTTTTTTTGGTTTTCGGTTTAACGCTTGGCTTCGCCGCACAAAAAGCGTCCGGAGTGGATCACAACCCGGTAATCATTTTTTAATTATAATTTCAAAGATATTTAAACTTAATTATTTTATTATTTAAAGTAGCACATAATTTACACATATTTTCTTGGCTATTAAATTAAAAACTTATTGATTTATTACGAGTATAATTTTGTATTTACAATGATATATAGTTAACAGTATAGGTAAAAAGATACTAACCGGAGCATAATTTATTACGCGTTATTTTTAAAAAAAAGTTTATATTATTCAAATAATTTTTTTAATTTTTTTTAAAATGCTGCGATATTTGCACATTTAGACGGACGTGACTACGACGACCACGACGGAATCGGCTGCGCCCAGCGAAACGGCCGAGGGCGAACTTTCGGCCGTGTTGAACAGGAGGCAGCGGATCATCGAGGCGCTGGAAGTCGGCAAGCCGGTGGTGCCGCAGTTCATCCGGCGGGCCGACCCCGACAACGTGTTCCTCGAGTTTAAGGAGTTCTCCCGCAAACTGATCGGCGCGTACGAGGCCACGTTCAATAAATTCGACATTGGCGAAGATGGATACTTGGACTTGGAAGAATTAAAGCGAATGATGGAGAGATTGGGCGTACCACAAACACACTTGGCGTTGAAAACCGCGGTCAAAGAAGTCGACGAAGACGGGGACGGCAAAATCAGTTTCAGAGAATTTTTGCTTATTTACCGCAAGGCCCTCGACGGTTCTTTGCCGGTAGACTGCGGTCTCTGCGAATTGGCCAGACTAACCGAAATCAACGTGGACGATGTCGGTGTCATTGGTGCCAAAGAGTTTTTCGAAGCTAAAATTGAATACCAACGTCAGGCGAATCGTTTCGAGTACGAGTTGAGACAAGAGACGGAAGAGAAAAAAAGGTTAGACGACGAAAAGTCTCGGAGGAAAATCGCATTCAAAGAGAAGGCCGCTATTTTTCAGTAAAATCTGTGTTCAGGAAAATGAAAACCTTACCCACAAGATTATCCCATTTCAAATTAATCACATCCCGGCGTCGTAGTCTGTGTGTTATTAAAAACCATTATGCTTACCTTTATAGTGGGTATAATTTAAAAATACTAAATTATTATAATTCAAAAAAATATGTTATTACCTAAATTATTTTTATATTCGATTTTCGAACTAGCTGTGTTTAGAAAACTTGTGTTTTGATTTGTAATATTTTTGTTTTTTTTTTTTTATTATTATATTGTAGTTTGTATAACTTCGTTTTGCGTTCTATATTTAACTTGATTAATATTTGTCTATTGCTGAACTCGAATAAATTGTAATATAATGTAAAAACCGATCACAGAACCTACTAAACGTGATTATCCCAATCCTCATTACAAAACTACCAAATTGATTAATTTTCTTTATTATTTAAATTTATATTATAAACTTTTTGTATTTTTTCTTTAAATATCTGTTTTGTACAGATATTTTTTTTCTAAACTTTGGCCGTTAGCTGTTTTTACTAATTTGTATGTCAATTTTTTCAATTTTTTTTTTCTCGAAAAATTCAATGTTTAAAAAATTATAAATTCTGATCGTTGAAACGTATATGAAAACCAGACATTTTACAGGAATACCTGAAAATGTGTTTTTATAAAAGAGGGGCTCCTTGTAGGTCATCTAATACCTTATACGAAATAGAAAACTACATGTTTTCTAATATTTTGGCTAACCATTGTGTAGTTACAATAACATATGTTCACTTTTTGATCAAATACGAACTTTGCGAACTTAACAAGCCTTTGCCGGACCTATTCACGACCAAGGTCAGTTCGCAGTAATATTAAAATACACTTGGATATCCGAAGGAATCTCGGTAGGAGTAACGAATACTCGTTTGGTGTATTTTTTTATTATTTAATTAAAAAAAAACAAAAATACTCTTAGACTTGCTGTTTCTTCGTTAGATGCGACCAAAGAACTGGAAAGAACTATTAATGATATTTTTTCTATCAATAAAATACCTTTCATGCATTATTTTTTTCTCTATAGACAATGCTACATGAAGAAACTGGCGGTGTGGTTTAGGTGATATCGTGGTTTAGACATATAAAAACCAATAAATAAAGAAAAATAGTCTTCAAATCAGTGTCAAGTTAAATATTACCATGAAACTATTTGCAAATTAAAATAACTCTCAACAAAATTAAAAGTTTAGTGACGCCCAAGCGGTCTTATCGTTTTATGATTTCAGAATAGCTTGTAATAATTAATTATTTAAAATATCTATGTTTACTCCCTACTAATACCACACAAATTTGGGAGACCTGTGTATTTAAGTACATTTAATATCACACTAAGTGATTTCTGAGTAATATGATTATTAAGTGTACTTAGAATACATATATTCTAAGAACTACATGACTCGAGGAAATTTAACGCCGTTGATTTAAATATTTTGTATAATATAGCTGTTAGCTGTACAGTTTGAAAAAATCGCCGTTCAACAGAAGCTGAAATGTGTACAATAAAGAATGATCTTTACGGCTTGCCGTCAAACGTTTAGAATAAGTAATTTTATTAGTAATTAAATAATGTTTAAAAGTAAGTTACTATGTACAGAGACGGGCATTATTTAGACATTTTTTTATCTAAATAATTATTTAAATAATTTTTTTATTCGAATACTCGTCGAATAATTTTTTGAATGACTGGTGTATAGTTTAAATCGGATATTTATTATTCAAATAAAAAAATAACTGATTATATGATTTATTCCGAGTTTTTTTTTTACTATTTATTTTTTCTTAAGTTATTTTTTCTTATTATTAACATAACTAAACAATTTCGTATTGCAATTTTTAATATAAAAAGTGTTAGAATAAAATAATTTTTTGGATAATATAGTTGTTCGAAAAAAGCATCTTAGATTTTGTAGAATAAAACAATTACCGAATAAAAAATCTTAAACGAAGAGCTCGTTTCAATGAATTATACTTATACTGAATATACTTTTACGCTTGTTCTGAAAATTATAGACAGGTATTAGAGACTTTATCAAGGCAAACTTGGACAAAGACGGCCGAATGGATTTTGCTCGATTAAGGGAGATATTGTACAATATATCATTTATATTTGAGGAAGAGATTGAGGTACCCAGTGCGGAAGAACTGACTATAAGTAAACAATACAAAAATGTTGATTAAAAAATGTTGAGTAATGTTGATAATTTAAAAAATTATCAGAAAATTTTGAAAAAAAACATTTTAATAATCGAGTATTTTATTTTGAATAATGTATAATAAAATGTACTTTCAGATTATGAATATTCAAATGACCAAGTTCATATTTACCTCCTATCGTTCTCAACTGAAGCAACACCAAAGTTAAATGTAAATAAAAACTTTACTACTATATACCAGATAAAAGGATTTTTTTATGCAGATTTATAATACTATTCTTTTCTATTTTTTTTTCCAGTAACATAAAAACTTTAAATTCAAGTTTATAACCTTAAAAGTTGTTCTACCAAAAAAACGAATAATCATCTAATTTTTACACATAAAACTGATTTTTTTTTAGATTAAAAACTAAATTTAAATGTTTTTCTGTTCTGGAAAAAAATGAATATTAATCAAGACTATTTGACATAAAAAGCAGATTTTTAATAAAAACATTTTATGGTTTATATGAAAATACTATACAAAAAAAATTATGAAAAACAAGAGTAAATAAAAAAATTGAAAATACTTATAAAGTGTTGCCCATGATTAAAATAATCGATATAAATAAATTTGAAGCGTTTTGATTTCGCTAAAATAGGCTTAGTTTTATGGGTAATAATTATAATATACATTTTATAATTAAATATTCTTATTCTAAAAATTATAGAAGTTGGTTATAGACATGGTAGCAAGAGAAATGGGAGAAGTTGAAGAGCTAGACTTTAATCAAGTAAGAGCTATATGTATGAAATTAGCCGAGCGACCTGAAGATTTCGACAGTATAGATGTATTTAAAAGGAGAGCATCAGAATTAGGTAATTAAAAATATAAAATAAATAAGTTAAGTATAATATTAAAAAATTATTGAAAAACATATTAACAATCAAGTATGTCATTTTTATAACTTTAAAAATTTATATTTTTTTGTAAACTAAGAGGTCGTAACTAATAAACCTATTAAAAAATTAAGAAAACGGGACTATATTTATAATAAAGATGATTTTCTGTTTTAACACATAGCTATTCTCAACTCATTTGACCTGATTCGTTTGTTTAAAAATGTTAAATTTTTTGTACTTTCAGCCAATAGATTTAATAAGCAGGAAGTTTTAATCGTTGTCCGAGCGTTTGCTGCTATAAAAGAACCGGGATTAAATGTAAATAAAAACTATAAAATTATAAATAAAAGGCTTGTTAGGTTGTTTTTGTGAAGATATCCAAAATATTCAAACGTTCAATTCATCTATGTATAATAGGTTAAATTCTTATAGCACTAACAAGTATTAGTATTTATTATTGTTAAAAATTCTCAGATATATTTTATTATATAAATAATGTAAATTATAGTTTAATAACTTAATCTTATATTTTTACCTTCCTCATTTTCACATCAAAGTGAGTATTTATATAATAAAATGACTACTATAATATTGCTATTTTTATGCATATAAAAACCTCAAGCCATATATTATATCTTATACCTTTGTAAATTGTAATACACTATATAATTCTTAATTATTACTCATATAACAAAAGGCAACAATAGAAACAGAGATCCAGAAATATAATGATCGTGATGTAAAAGAATATGAAGAGTTTAAAAATATATTCTTGAATGTAAAACACATATGGAAAAAACCCATGAAATTCTTTTTGGTTGAAGAATGCAGGAAGACATATACAAGTAATATCAAAATAGAATAATATTCAATTATATGTGTCAAATAATATGTGCAAAAACTATTGCAGAAACATATTTAAAAGAAAATTTGTCATTTATATAGATGTAAATTGTTTAATTATTTAAACTAAAATTCAACATTTCTAAAAATAAAAAACAAATTAAAATAATAATGATAATGTACAAATAAAAATTTTGCAAAATGTGATATACATATGAATATAACTAATATTGCATTATTATTCTACAATTAATTGAAACAAAGATGTATTTTTAGTGTAACATTGTTACTGTCAACTCATTTGGCCTGATTCGTTTGTTTATAAAATGTATACAATTTTATACTTTCAGGAGCTAGATACAACGCGGCACAAATTGAACGCATTGTCATGCAAAAATTTTTTCCTTCATAGTTTGATTATTATAACTGTTCTCGAATTATTGCATATATGTAATAAACACACACATACAAACGTAGATTTGATTGATTAATAAACTATTTTGCTCTTATATTTTGTTAGTATTTATTGTATTACTTTTAAGTGTTATTACCCAATCCAAGTAAATCAGTCTACGGTTCAAACCCGTGATCAAAACCAGTGATTTTTTTTTTTAACTAGTCACTTTTTATAATGTAAACATATTATTAAAATAGAACCCTTTTTCATGAAATATTTTGAATACGCATGCTTTGGGAAATTTTCAAACTTTCTGTTGGTAAGCTTATTTCGAATTAAGTTCAATATTCTGTGTACTTCATGAAAACCAAAAATCATAAAAGGAAAAAACGCGTCGATGAAATTAAGTATCTTCTAAGCTCCACTTGGAATCTAAAATGTACATTGCTTATAACTATATATCTTTTTCCACGTTTACCCCACCCCCTCCCCAAAGTACCAACTAGATGAAATTTGTGATTTCATGATTAAAAAAGTGACAGTGTATATAGGCAAAAAAAAGCCCACACCATAGTAATAAACCAATAAGTATCTCTGCTCTGGATCAAAGCTAGAAAATAATTACAGTGTGGCAACTTTGGCCGTTAGGTGTATTGTTTGTACATTTTTCGAATTTTTTTTCTCGGAAAATTCAAGGTTTAAAAAATTATAAATTCTAATCGATGAAACGTATATGAAAACCAGATTTTTTACAGGTATTCTACGAAAATGTGTTTTTTATAAAAAAAGAGGTTGTATATACATAGTTCACGTTATAATACCTTAAGAAAACTGGAAACTATAAGTTTTCTAATATGTTTGCTTGCCATTGTGTAGTTAAGATATAATGTGTTCCTTTTTTGATCAAGCACAAACTTTGTAAGCTTTGCAAACTTAACAAGCCTTTGCCGGACCTATTCACGACCAAGGTCAGTTCGCAGTAATGTTAAAATACCCATTGATATCTGAAAGAATCTTGGTAGGAGTAACGAATACTCGTTTGATGTATTTTTTTATTATTTTATTAAAAAAACGGAAATACTCTTAGACTTGCGTCGTTCGATGCGATCAAAGAACTGGAAAGAACTACTTATAATATTTTTTTTATCAATAAAATACCTTTCATGCATTATTTTTTTCTCTATAGACAATGCAACATGAAGAAACTGGTGGTGTGGTTTACATAGGTGATATCGTGGTTTAGACATATAAAAAAAAAAAATCATGAAATAAAGAAAAATGCCTAGTCTTTAAATCAGTGTCAAGTTAAATATTATCATGAAACTATTTGCAAATTAAAATAACTCTCATGAAAATTAAAAGTTTAATGACGCCCAAGCGGTACCAACATTTTATAATTTAAGAAAAGCATGTAATTATTAATTACTTAAAATATCTACGTTTACTGCCTACTAATACTACACAGATTCAGTCACAAATTTAGGTTATACTTTGTATTTAAGTTAGATTTATTTGATACATTTACCCTAAGAACTACATGAAACGAGGAAATTTCACTCCGTTAGTTTTATAATACAGCTGTAAGCTGTATAGTTTTAAAAAATCGCCGTTAAACGTTCAAATGTGTACAATCAAGAATGATCTTTACGGCTTGCCGTTACATGTTTAGAATAAGTAATTTTATTAGTTATTAAATAATGTTTAAAAATTAAAACCGACACACTCACACACCACTACATTAGGTTTTTTGACCGTGCATTTAGTAGAAGGTAACTTGTATAGAAAAGAAAAAACTGACGATGCATTGCACCAGATTTGATAAAGATACACGGATTATGCTTGTAATATAGATGTATATATTTTTTAAAATACATATTTTATAATATGTCACATTAAATACATGTAATATCTAAATCTTCATCGACCGCTGAAGCCGTCCATTGATTTTTGAGCAATAGATAATTCAAAATGTTTTACCCCAAATGTTTCTGCTAAGGCTTCAAAAGCTGCGTATGTAACTGGGTCAGTTGCTAAATAAACGTAAATATATAAATTATTACAAAATAAATGTGTAACCCTTTGTTGCCACACAATTGCGCTTGTGATTTTTGATATTTTTAATTGTGTTATCACAAATCAATTTAAATGACAACAAACAGTCGTTTCAAAATAAGTGTTTAATGTAACTTGTTAAGATATTTTCAAATAATATAAACCGTAAAATACTTTGCTGATTAATTCGATTTTAAATGAAACACATCGTTTGAAAAAAATACATTTTACAACTTACCTGGGTTAGTCGCTTTAAATATAAACTTGAACGATGCTCGGGGAACTGTTTCACTTTTTAGTTGTTCTTCAGACATATCCTCGACGGCTATACCTATCGAACTTAAAGCAAATTTCCATACTCCCTAAAATTGTATTATCATTTTTCTTAGTACACAAGTTAAAACAATTGTTCACAATATTTAATATATTAGTACAATTTTAAGTATTATTGTAGACAAATAGATAATAACTAAGTACTTTATAGTCTTATTAATTATTTAAAATTTCATTTAAAACACACGAGCGTTTTACCATCGCTGTAATAGTACGTTTATTAATCGGTCAGTAAAAAATTAATTTTATTAAAATACATTTTTGTTTTATTTTTAAATGCTGCGGTGTTTAAGCATGTTGCGCAATCTATTGGAATAGACTTTCACTACAAAGTAAAATTTTCCAATTTTCCAGACAACTTTACATTTAAAATTTTGAAAATCTTTAGACTTTTGTATGCAGAAATCGGCTCAGTGGTTTAGTTTTACTCCTAGTAAAAATAAAACACATTATTGTAAAAACAATTCCTCCCAGCTCGGCATAAAAGAAAAATAAATGATTTAAATACATTTTAATTTAAAAAAATATATTATTTGAGTACAATGTTTTTGATTACTGGAATGAAAAAAAAAACAGTGATCTTTAAATTTGGGTTATTGGAATAAAACAAAAATCCTAAATTAATAATGTAATCCGTTATCCGTTAACTAAGGATTACTGGATTAAATTTAAACCTTAATCCAAAAATGTAGGATTACTGAAATAAATGTAATCCAGTTTTTTTATTAATCGTGGATTACGAGTAATCCGTAATCCGTCTGTAATCGATTACGGACTGTAATCCATTTTGCCCATCTCTGTACTATTCGTTATGTGTATCAATTGTTATAAACATTTTAGTTAAATAAATCTAATTTTTTTTTATTATAAAAACAGTTTTTTATTCGAAATACATTTGTATTATGCCAATTCTCCTCTAACATTATAAAAAAAAAATTATAATTACAGCTTTATAAAGTATAACAATAAAAAAATATTATATTTAAATACATTTGTATTTAAATGTCTAATTACCATTTTACTTTTAATATTTAAAATAAAAATATATTCATTTAATTATTTATTATTTAAATTTCTTTTAATGTAATATTTTTTATTTAAATGTAGCTTTTCAATTTTCGTTGAATTTTAATTGGAGTTGTTGAAAATAATGTTTTATTTGTTGTTTTTTGCTTAAAAAAAAAAATGTATTTTTAAATTAAAGAATTCTTTAATTCTAAAATGGGAATGCCTGTCTAATAATTTACCAGTAATTATGCCACTGTCCAAAGTAATCCAAATTGTCACTTAACCAACAGATAAAGTAAGAACATGTATGTACAGTTGATCACCTTTCTAAATTATTTAATTTGCCGTATACAACCGTATGTTCAGAAAAATAATAAAGATATCCATTGTTCTAATTTCTTAAGGAAATGTTTGTATTTGTCATTGTAAAATAAGTTATTATATCAAACTCTTATGCAAGCAAGTAAAATACATTTATGATGTTTTATGTTCTTATTATATAATTATATTGTGCTTTTATATTATATTTAATAAATTAAATTTCAGTTTTTTTACAATTTGATTTTTATCTAGATTTTTTTATTATTTTTTGTTAATTATATAAACTTTTTTTAAAAATAATACGTATTATATTATGCTCCGGTTAGTATCTTTTTACTTATACTGTTACCTATATAACAATCAATAAATTTATAATTTATGGCCGATAAAATATTAATTCCGTTTTCATATTATGTGATACTATAAATAATAAAATAAATCACTTGAAATTATAATTAAATAATTACCATTTTGCGATCCACTCCGGACGATTTTTGTACGGCAAAGCAAAGCGTTAAGCCGAAAACCAAAAATAATTTCGCATTCATTTTAAGTTTAAAGTATATAATGACTGTTGAAAGTGCTTTCAAGTAGAACTCAGTATATAATGTCTGAATGGCATTTTTTTTACGCCATTATATAGGTACACTAAATAGGTCACTAGTACAAAAAAATTGTTTATTTTGGATATTGTTTTTGTATTATTTATTTACAATAGCATAATATTTACTGTTGGTTTGTTTTTTCGAAAACAAGTTGTTTTTTTAAGCAGTGAGTGTTTACATTAACCTGTTAGGCTGCTGCTCGTGGTGCCAAAAAACAGCCCTTGGAGGGAGCGTCGGGCAGCGACAATGCGAGGAAAATGGTCAGCGCTCACTGGCCACTGCCACAAAAGTGGGTTGAATGTAAAGGTGGGTTAAAGTGGGTAATACAAATTATAGGGCATATGGCTTAAGTTTACACAGTACAACGAATTCATATCCAAATAGGGAAAGTCCTTCTTGGATCCCATAGCCCCCTGTTGTATCCACCCTGCACGCAGTGCCCTTGTCTCTTATTCCGTAAGAGATGCGCAGTTTAGTGTAAGTCATAAAAATGTAATTTGGTTTTTTTTCACAACCATACACAACCAATTTATCATTGCTAAAGTAAAATAGAGAAATTGTCCCGCAATATTATAATAATCAAAATAATTTTGACCGTAAAGACTTCGACAAAAACAACTAGGTCGATTTCACAGATGTTGTTTTTGTTTTCAGATATATATTTATTATTTAGCGCCACAGGTGACGGTTTGGACAAGCATAGAAAACATCAAAAAGCAAATATTTTTTTCTTATTTCAATAAATAACACATCTAACACAAACGTGTTTTCGATACGTTTTCGCGTAGGGAAGTAGGTTAACATACAACTGTTCGGAAAAATAATAACGGTGATAATATCATAAAATGCGTTCAAAAGAAATTTAAATAAATAAGGGATGGAAATAAAATACATATTATGTATCTACATTGAATACCTACATATAACATGTTAAAAAAATTAAAAATCAATGTCTGAGAACACTGTCTAGAGTAAAGAGATACTGAGTATCTCTACAGAGTAGAGACCTTGTAAACGTCATGGATTTTTCAATTTTTTCTACAAAAATAGACCCTGTAAGCGTTATAATATTGAATTAAAAATATATATCCTTCTTGTTTTGTTATTATAAATTATAAAAAATATATGGCCTCAAAATACAATATATAATAATAATCAAAATCGTTTTAACGTCGGATACTTTAAATAATATTACAACTAGGTCGAATTTTTAGACGTTGTTTTTGTTTTTGAATACATTTCACATTTAGGGCATTGGTGTACGACTAACAAGTGACTGTTTGAACAAGTATGGAAAACATCTCATAAATATTATGTTTTCTTCTTATTTCAATAAATAACAAAACTTACAAAGCGCGTTTTCGATACGTTTCCGGGTAAAAATGTAAATGAACAAGTATTTAGAAAAGCAATAACAACGATAAGACCTTATACTATTTTAAACGAATATAAAATTAAAATAGTAAAATTATTCATGACCGGATGTAGACATTTTCTGGAGCTCTAAGACCAACTGTAGCAATATGGATAAACACAGTTAGGTAGACCCGTGGTATAGTGGGAACGGAAGGGGGTGGGAGCCACAGATTTTCAGGATTATTATTACAACTGAAATTGATTTTATTACTTTCAAATAAGCCGGGCTTCGATGCGGATCTTTAGATGGTATGGCAGTATTAAATATCGTTACAAATCATTGTAAAGACAAAAATTCGCTTAAAACTTAAATTTTTACTTTATGGGTGCATATCGCCACAGGGTTGATGGATTGTCTTTCCTAATAATTACTTCAATTGACAAATTAATGAAACTATATTTTGGTTTCCAGTTGACTGTTGATTCACACACACACATAGTAACATGGAAATTTACTAGATACGGTCAAATGATTACCTTTTTCGGGTTTTCCTTAATTAAAAAAAAAACGGTTTGGTTAAATTTTTATGAGAAATCCCAATATTATATTATAGCCGGACTATGACTATCTCTATCTTAATTATATATATTTAAATGAAACATTGACTTTCATTGTTTTATGTTTTTTTTTTTTATAATATACCTAATAATTTTGTATATTTAAAGTCAACGCGTAGAACATAAATAGAATATGTTTAACATAATAAAACTCAATGTTTTTTATATACTAACGCATTTAATAGTACGAAAAATCTGGGTACAACCACCATTGTGGAGCTTTTTTATGTGTAAAAAGTGTATTACTCATACATATGTTTTTTCATACCGATACGAATTTAAGGTAAATAAGATAAAAAAAAAATATTGCTAACTGTGTGTTGTTTAGGCACTTTATCGTTTTTTATAATACACTAGCGTATTTCATACAACGAGAATTCAGAACATAACATAAAACCTTATACTATTATATGTACAACAATTGATTTATCTACCACAAACTAAACCTCATATGTCTACAGCAGCCAACCATTTCTTTAGCGTAGCCAAGTTACCTAGAGTTATAGGGCAAATAGATTGTAGCCATACAAAAATACAACCGTTTGGTGACCAAGAAAATACAATTTTCATGGCTAATTAAAGGTAGTATTATAGTAATGATAACAGTAAATTAACTGAAAATAGTCGATGACAAACTGGAAAATGGCGTTGAGCAAGTAAGCTATGCCTTAGTAAGTTTTGTATTTATTTAGTGAAGCGACAAATTTTAAGCTCCGCTTTGGTCAATTGATATTTAGCGTTAAGTACAACTCAAGTCTTACTTAATAAACAAAACCTTACAGCGTTGGTGCAATTGGCCATACGTGTGACACGTTTTTATATAGTTAATTTTAACAATTAAAAATGTGTTAATAATCTATTTTTTGGGGGGGTTTTGTCTAGTTTCGGCAGTGAAGAAGTTTTCGACATACACATCGAAAAATGTCTATTCAATTGGTCAATTTTAAATAAATCCTATGTACACTGAATCAGATTGAAACTCGTTATGCGATATAGTAATTGTTAATATTTTAGCTGATGGTTTAATATAAAAGAGTTTTATTTTATTTTTGTATGTCTATAGGCACTATGTTTTTTTCCAGTGGACCGAATTACTCGTGTAGCACCTCTGTAGATGCATCTATCAATCAGATATTACCATAATCTCATAACTTTTGGCTATTGTTACAAAAACGAAGTAGGAATACTTCAGGTTGGGAATAGGAATGGGGTTGGGGTTGGGGTTGGGAATGGGAATGGGGTGTGGGGTGAGAATGGGGGGTGGGGTGGTTTGCTCTGGCACATAACCGAAAAAAGCGTTACATTATAGGAGGTTCCGCTGTTATCTGATAAGAGATATGTTGTATTCATAACGATCAAATTATAACTGAAAAATAAATTAAATGTAATTTGACAGGTCATATTTCCTATGAATTGTTTTAGGCCAGATATACTCGAGTAAACACTAAAATATTAGCCAGAAACTTGATATGTTTACTAGCCATCTTAGATACTAGCTTGTTACTGCTTGTAAATATACTATTTTATTATCTAAAATCCCACCACTACTCTCTACATTAATTCGGTACTTCAACAATACATAAAAGTGCTCTTTCGTGGTTGTAGATTCGGCTGAAAAATGCTTTTTATTAATTAAAGCATTCAATCACTATTTGATCTTGTTAATATTTGTTCAAGTCGAAAATTTAATAACATTTTTCTGAAATCTTCAATCAAACCCATCCAATATTTCAAAGGAATACAAGCAGTAAAATGACCTGATGTAACCAGCATTTCCATAACAAAATTAACTATCTGGTGTACTAGATAAATATCCTTTAATTAAACTAGTGACACCCAATAAACGTGAGCTATCGAATTCAATTCCATTTAGTTCTAAACGAACTTGTTCAAAAACATATGATTATCCATTTGTATTACCACCTTTAATGTAAAAAAAACCAGTACAATGGGGTCGGTGCATAGTGGGGACGGAACATAGTTGGGTCGGGGCATATTGGGGACGGGGAGGTCACAGGTTTACAGGAATTTTTAAATCTGAAAGTGATAAAATCACTTCTAAAACGCTTCGATGCACAATCGGTATTCATATTTTCAAGCCAGTACTGTCCTAACCAGGCTCTTGTAAACCAGGAATAGTTAGAACGTTTTAAATGAAGGTTCGTGTATTTCTAATGAGCATCAAAGCGTTATGTTGAAAGTGATCTTTATCCGAGAGGACTTGTACAGTAGAGTATTGCATCGTGTAAGCAAAGCCATGAGGAACGGAAGGTCACAGGTCGTACAAGAATTATTATTTATAATAAAATTGAATAAAATCGCTTTCATATAAACGCTTTGATGCTATTTGTAATAGGTGTTATTATTTGTAATGAATATTTGCACAAATATATAAATATGTACACAAGTATATATGTTGTATAAAAACCATACCAACAGATTGATGTTTTTAATAAAAAATAAAACAGGTCAGAAACTGTGTATTGCAACACCATTAACACTAAACTTTCATACTATTAAACATCATCACTATGAATCTCTGGGTTCCAGTATGTTTTCTATTATGTGTAGCAGAATATCAGTTATTTATTGTCATACATTAGTACATAGTGCTATACTGTTTCATTGTGAAATTAGGAAAACCCCGCTTAAAAAATCTTTCTGGGAACATATTCCTTATTTCTAATGGTGATATGTACAATTATTAGAATACTATTATTGGGGATAATTTTTATTTATCAGACTATCATAACTTTTGCTTTTTGTTAAAAAATCTACACTCTCACTTTCCCAGTATAGACAAAAACAATGTCCAAAAATTCAGCTAGTAATTTTTTATTGTATTTTTTCGAAATGATGAAAACGAAAATTATTCCACCTTAGAGAGTTTTTTCAATAGTTCTAAAATTATGATAATAACTCCATTCTTAAAAAAACACTAGAAAAGTAATATTATGTTTCGTTTTTCACAACTTTAATATTGTACTGTATGCTTTGTCGGTCGTAAAAGCATCTGTACTACTTTATTTTAGCTTACATGATATTTTTCTAATAAAATTTGCAGT